TTGTGAAATGACAGTTCTAACCCTAACTCTTCTAAGTTCTTCTAAAACATCTATTCTTTTTTTATTCTTTACCTCGTGTCCTTTCAAAACAAGAGCTGAATGCTGAGAATTTTAATGGCTCAGATTTGGGTCTAAACTGGTCCAAATGTGTCACATTTTACACACACTTTTATGGAGACTCTGTGGTCTCTTGTGGGTTGATCTGGTCTAAATGTGGACTAGATTTTAATGTTTAATTTCCACAGGTGGCACTTTGTTTTGGGTCCTTGTGTTGCGTTTGGGTTTGGGATGGTTGGTAATAATAAAACAGAAACCAGTGCATAATTAAGGAAAATTGTGATGCACTCAGAGCACCTTGCAGGAAGAGTTTACCTGAACTGTGTGTTTTGGGTTGAACGTCCGTCAGCTTTCCCCCAAAAGACCCAAAGGTGAATTTAAAACTGCTTTGCTGAAATACACTAGTATTTTGTAATTATGTTTCTAACTTTTCCTTTGTGTTTGCAGGTTTGGGTGGTGTCCTCTAACTCGTCTACAGGTCTCACTTTTAGTATTATCATCATTTTTAATTAGTTCATAGTTAATCTAAAATAAATATACTTCATGTCTTACAACTGTGAGACATGAAGATCATCTGTGGCAACTGCAGCAGATGATAATTTAGTTTATTTGAAAACTGCTAAAGCTAAAACGTGTCTGCCATATTTTCCTGACTAACCGTTGAGATTTCAGGTTTTAGGTTGGTGTCTAACCCATTTACAGCAGCTCTGTGACATCTACTACTGCTATATGAGCTAAAGAGTGCTGCTGACCAGTGAAAATGAACCTTTGCCTCCATCTGAAGTCAAAAAGGACACAAGAATTAAAGAAGAAGAATGGGAAATCTTATATCAGAGGCTATGCTCCAAAATATGGAATGAAAGAATTGATCCAGAGCACCTCGCTGGAAGAGTTGACCTCAACTCTGTGTTTTGGGTTGGGTTGGGCTTCAGTCAGCTTTCCCCCAAAAACCCAAAGGTGAATTTAAAACTGTTTTGCTGAAATATACTCTTATTTTGTAATTTTGTTTCTAACTTTTCCTTTGTGTTTGCAGGTTTGGGTGGTGTCCTCTAACTCGTCTACAGGTATCACTTTTATTATTATCATCATTGTTAATTAGTTCATAGTTAATCTAAAATAAATACACTTCGTGTCTTACAACTGTGAGACATGAAGATCATCTGTGGCAACTGCAGCAGATGATAGTTTAGTTTATTTGAAAACAGCTAAAGTTAAAATGTGATGACTGTCATGTTACTAACTCTTCAGTTTTCAGGTTGGAGAAACCCACATCTTTTTAAAACCTGATCATTTGGAATAATCTTAAGGTACAGTATATTTTAGTCATCCCTTCTGAGGTAAGTTCTTCCTCTACATTTGGCCCATTCATCAACAAAGTGCTGCTGGGGCAGCCTGTCAGGAGCAGTGAGCTGCTGCCGTACACCTGTGCAGATTCTGCACACAAAGGAACCTTCTTGCTGTGAGTGAGTGCTCAGTCACTCATCTTGACTTGAGTTTTGGTCCAAGGGTTGAGGCCCTTGTGTTCTGTCACTTTTTTGTGGTCTGAATGTAATAGTTCTGACCCTTTGACCTTGGGTTTGTGACCCACATAATCTTACAGGATCTTTCCCTGCTGCAGGTTTCACTGGATTTATTGGTCTGTCCATGCAGACTTTAACTCAGGTGGGTGACTTTAACTCAGGTGGGTGACTTTAACTCAGGTGGGTGACTTTAACTCAGGTGGGTGACTTTAACTCAGGTGGGTGACTTTAACTCAGGTGGGTGACTTTAACTCAGGTGGGTGACGTTTGTGTGTGAATCATCATCTCTAAACAAGTTCTGAATATGCTGAGGATTATATGTTACAGGCTTTAGTTTTGGGCCTAAACTGGTCCAAAAGTGGGCCATATTTAAATGTTGACTCACTTTTATGGAGACTGCTGGTCTCTCTTGGTCTTATCTGGTCTAAATGGGAAGTGGGCCAGATTACATGTTTACACATCATTTCCACAGGTTGCACTTGGGCCCTTGTGTGTTTTTGGTTTGTGCCTCGACTGGTCTGAACACGGGCCAGATTTAAACAGGCTGGTAAAACATGTTTTGGTTTGGTGAAACTGAAATTTCTTATTGTAAACTAACCCTTCAACAGTTTCATTTGGTTTTAAAAAGGTCTGAAAACAGATTTGGACTGGTTTATAGAGTCTGATGGCTCTGGTCCTAACCCTGACACTAAACTGAAAGTCTAGTTGTTGTATCTTAATCCAACTCTTGCCATTGTGTTTGTTGTAAAACTGTTTGGTTTTGTCTTGTGAAATGACAGTTCTAACCCTAACTCTTGTGACTCTTCATTGCAGATCTAAACTGTTTTACTAAACTTTTAAACTAGTCTTCACAGGTCCAGAGGCTGCAGCTGTTTACTGTGAGTATGTCTGCACGCACTTACTAACACACTAACTCTGTACGAACACGGGCGGTGGGTCTAATCCAGCCACAGAGGGCGCTGTGTGTGTCCCTCTGTGCCAGTCCCCAGCCTGGATAAATGGAGAGGGTTGCTTTGGCGTAAAACCTGCGGCTTTAAGCCTGATCTTAAAGTGTGTATTACACTTGTGTATTATGTATTAAGCCCTGAGAGGCAAGAGAAAAAACACAGACTCAGGTCATTTGGTCTGTGTTTTCTAAGTGTATTTTTTGTTTTGGGGTTTTTTGCACCAATTCAAAAATAAAAATTTCTAAAAAAAAAAGTTTTTTTTTGTTTTGTTTTTTTTTCATTTTGCATCAGCAACGGTGAAAATTCGTGATGCATCTGTTGAAAGCAGCTGGTCTATGAAGAATGGAAAAAACGGATAACGGCCGTTTACGTGACTTCAGTGACTGTGATGCCGGACTTTTGCACCGCATACGGACTGAACCAGGACTGATCCAGGTCCGGGACCAGACTGGGACCAGAGTCACAGAAGTCACGAAAACAGGAAATGGCCGTTATCCGTTTTTTTCATCCTTCATTTAAACACAAAATCGAAAAGTGAAAAAAAAACAAATCGTTATCTGTTTTTTCATTTTGGTTTTGGAGACAAATAATGAAGAAAACTTGTTTTTTTCATTTTCTTATTTTTGGTTTTATATTGAAAAACGAATGAACGAATGACAGATTGTTTCAAGTGTTGATGTGTGTGTTAGTGTATTTTATTGAGTTTTAATTAATGGTGTGGTTCTGCTTTTTACTTACTTCCTTTTTTATCTTCTGTCTAGGTCCCAAAAGTTTCCTACCTGGAAACGCGCTCCCTCTTTTAAGACTCCGGGCTGGATCATGTGTATTATTTTGTACAGGGGTATTAGGTTTGGTGTTTTACTGGTTTATGGGTTTTAAAGTTTCATTGGTGTAATGGTTTTAGGTTTTTTTTTCATGTATATAGTTGGTGATTTTAATCGTTATTTGGTTTTGGGTTTATTCTACGGAGGTTTTGATCAAGATTTTAAGACGATGATAATTTTACCATCCCTGTTTTAGCTGTAGTAGTTTTATCCAATCAGTGACTCCAGGATAAAAGGCGCCTCAGTACATCAGTCTGGCTTCTGCTGGATTGAAAACACAAAAAGTAAACTGTGGACCACTGCTTCACGTCTTTGTCTGGACATTTTTTTACATTTCTCACTGAACCCCAACCCGCTCACGGTCAAACTACGTCACATGAGAAGTGATTAAAAACTGTAAGGATCATCCTAATTGTATTTTCATTTCCTTTATTATATCTTAAACTTAAATAGGCTGCATTTTGTCACAGCAAGTCCAATTTTGTTCAACACAGCAACATCTTTCTCTTTCTTTCTCTCTCTCTCGCTCTTTCTCTATCTTTTGGTCTCTTTCTCTCTCTCCCTCTTTCTTTCTTTTTTTCTTACTCTCTTTCTTTCTCTCTTTCTCTGTCTTTCGCTCTCTCTTTGTCTCTTTCTTTCTCTCCTGCTCGCTTTCGTTCTCTTTCTCTTTTTATCTTTCTCTCTCTTTTTGTCTTTCTTTCTCTTTCTTTCTGTTTCGCTCTCTCTCCTTTCTCTATCTCTTTTTTCTTTCTCTTCTTTCTCTCTCTCGCTCTTTCTCTGTTAATCTTTCTCTCTCTCCCTCTTTCTCTTTCTTTCTCTCTCTCTTTTTTCTCCTTCTTTCTCTTTTTGTCGCTCTCTCTCGCTCTTACTCTCTTTCGCTCTCTTTCTGTCTCTCTTTCTTTCTCTCCTATCTGTTTTTCTCTCTTTTCTCTTTTTATCTTTCTCTCGCTCTCTTTCTTGCTTTTTTCTTTCTCTTTCGCCTCTCTTTCTGTCACTCTTTCTTTCTCTCTCTCCTCTCTCTCTCTCTTTGTCTCTTTCTTTCTCTCTTTCTTTCTGTTTTGTTCTCTCTCTTTTTTCTTTCTCTTCTTTCTCTTTCTCTCTCTCGCTCCCCTCTCCTCTCCCCTTTCCTTCTCTCTCTGTTCTTTCCTTCTCTTCTCTGTTCTTTCCTTCTCTTCTGTTCTTTCCTTCTCTTCTCTGTTCTTTCCTTCTCTTCTCTGTTCTTTCCTTCTCTTCTCTTCTCTGTTCTTTCCTTTCTTTCCTCTGTTCTTTGCACACTCTTCTTTGGTTGTTTGATTTTGTTTTTCCTTAACTGTCAGCACTTGTTCTTTTTCATGTGTTTGAGTTTTTTTTAAAGATGAAATTTGAGTTGTCACTAAATGTTTGCATCTTAAAACTTTCATTGTGTGGTTCTATGATTCTATATATTTTCCTGCTTTTTTGTCCTTTTTGCTTTTTTTCCAATCACATCCCTGAGTATTCAAAAATATAAAAGTGAAAAAAAAAACGCTGTGTAGACTGTGTTCCAAAGCAAGAAATATAATCTGACGAAGGATTTTTGCCAAAACCTTATTTCAAAATTTTAAAAAAGCCTCCACCATCTGAGCGCACTAGGCATTTTTCCATTTTTATAAATAAATGAAAACAGGAAGCTATTAGAAATTGTGAGTTTTATTTTGCAGTAGTACAACTTTAAATGTGCATTTTTAAGTCAGTAGTTGAGATACAGCAGAGGCTTGTTGGTAGGAAATCCAACAAATTACAAGTATAGAAAACAATTCCTCAAAAACTCATTAGACAAAAGCAAAATCGGTAACACTTTATAATAACTACACCTTATTTAGCCTTAATAAAGCATGAACAAAGGCTTGATTAATAATGAACAAAGACTTTATTAATAATGATTCAAGCTGAGTAACTACTTAATTACTACCTTTATTAGCACTTGCACTTAATTTGCCTGAGCTGTAAATAGTTACTCATAATTATTTCATACTTAATTACTCATGAACTAACTATTTGAGCATTTATTAATCATTAGTAAACTATGAGACAATGATTTACTAATAATACAATGATAATTCAGGCAGCTATTATCTGTTAAGTCTTTTTGAGAGCTTTTCTAAAGTGAAGACAGATTATGCTTTATTAAGCATTTACTAAGCGTGAATCATTATTAATTAAATCTTTGTTCATTATTAATTAAGTCTTTGTTCATGCTTTATTAAGGCTAAGTAAGGTGTAGTTATTATAAAGTGTTACCGCAAAATCATTTTAGTTTACATCATAGCAAGCAAATAAACTTAATTAATATAGCACCTTTCCCAGACAACGAAGTCACAGAAGTTAAAACATAAAGATTACTCGAGTATGCAGTCCATGGTTTGCAATCTGAGGGTGAAATTATGATTAAAACTGTGTATTCTAGTGTTTGTAGATGTATTTACATTGGAGGAGCTTATATCTGGGGCAGAACAGAACTGTCTATAGTCCGGCTGTGGGCCAGACTCATCCTACAGCAGGAGAATTATCAGGAGAATCAAACAAAGACTCCATCCATTCTTCGTTAAAGGTCCCACATGACACAAAACTGACTCTCGTGAGGTCTAAAAACAGACCTGGAGATGTGTTTTGTTTCATTCACACATGTCTGAATAATCCTTTGTTATTAGTCTGTCTACGTCTCTAAAGCTCTAAATGTTCTGTTCCACCTTGTGATGTCATGAAGCGGTAGTCTTCAAGTTAACAGCTCCATTTTTTATACCTTTAATTCAGTGGAGATTGGCAATAGGCGAGTTTCATTGTTGACAAAAGCGCGCGTTGCATGCTGGGAATTATTTTGGTCGGCGGCAATAAACACTAATTCAACTTGATGGACAGAGCGAGAAAGCATGTAAAGGGTATTGATCCCGGTTATTTATCCACTCTAACGGCAGAGGACTGAAGACGATTTGACCAGAAATTGGTCATAAGCATCGATGGAGCCAAATCACCCTTTTCAGCTTCTACAAAAGGTGGACCAAACCAAATTTCTGGTCGGAATCGCCAACTACCTGGCCAAATATTCACTTCGGCGATATCCACAATGACTTGGTGGAAACTCCTGGGCCATTCACAGCAGAAAAGATGAAAACCTCCAAGAGTCTCGATGTGTTGTTGAACTTGTTGGAGTCCACGGTTTGTTAGGATCTTCTACATTTGCTCTGCGAATGTTTGAAAGCCGTTTAATACGAAAAAGACATTTTCCTTCTTCCGTGCTTCTATTTGTGCATCCGATAATGCAGAAGGAATTTACCATTATCAGGGATAAATACGCGAGGTTACGCACTGTCTTTGACCGCTATCGTGTTTCTTGTCTCCGACCAAAATATTTCCCAGCATGCAACGCGAGCTTTTAATAACAATGAAGCTGAAACTCGCTTATTCCAGGGCTGAAATTATCCAAATGATTCTAGTGAAGGTGTGTGATGCTTAAAAACACAATGGAGCACTTCCTGTATCACCGTATGACATCACAAGGTGGAACAGAGAGAAGAACTCGTGTGAATGAAACAAAACACAACTCCAGCTCTGTTTTTGATGAGGAAACAACATTATAAAATAGGTCAAAAGTAGTGTCATATGGGCCCTTTTAAATCTTCTTAGCACCTAACAACAGCTTTTGGTCTCTTCTCAGCAGCTCCAGGATCAGTTATTTCAGGTGAAAGAAGTTAAATATGTCGTCTTCATCGTGCTCTACCGGTTTGTTCTTCCCCACGGCCACTCTTGACAGACCCTCGGCCTTTCTGCTGAACGGTTCAAACCCTCTGGTGCTGTGGCTCTTCTGCTGTGAGATGTTGAGACGTCGTGAGATGCCCGGGCTCTGATCTCGCGGGCTGGAGGACCTCGGAGCTTCGGCCTTGTGTCCCAGCTCGCACGAGGCCACCAGAGGCTTGCCCACGTTCAGCTGCAGGGTCTGGGTGCACCTCCTGGCACTGTCCCTCTCCAGAACAGTGTAGTGTAGATCTACTCTGATGACCAGCGACTCCTACGAGCAAAGAAAACATTTTTTTTCATTAGCAGATCGATTCAAGTGATCACAGTTTTGAGCCCTGTGTCCCCTGTCCCAGCAGATTTATCCAAAACAACTGATTTGTTCAATTTTTATAAAAGAAATGTCCCAAATTCCCCTATTTTTGACCAATTTGATCCATGCCAACAGTAAAGAGACACATACTCTGTCATTTGTTCTGGTAAAATACTAAAAAATCTGCATAAAAATGACCAAAACACGAAGAAAATATGACTACACTGACTCATATGTTCGTCATGAATGTTCTCTGCGTAACAATTTTCCTTAATTACACACTCGTTTCACAATTTTATTCTTACCAACCACTAAAAAAACGCATGTGTCTCAGTTTTTTATTTTGAAAATCTGGTCACTAGGGATGTAACAATAACCAAAATGTCGTGATATTATATCATCAAAGTTCTCACAATAATATCGTGGACCATCACAATATATTGTATTCAAGTTTCTTTGGTTAAATGAAGAGTTATGGTGCAGCAATAGCTAAAGAAAGACAGAGGGAACTACATAGACCATGATCCTTTGCTCCATTTCAGTGCAGACTACAAGAAGAAATAACAGTTCTAACACTTTTAAGTCTTAGTTCTTTGGATAAAGTCTTGTCAAGGCATTTTAAGAGGAAAAAGCAGCATATTAACAGTTTTGTAAATTTGCCTCCACAAAATATCGCAATAAATGTCGTACCGTGAGATGTATATTGTGAAAATATCGTACAGAGAGATTTGGATATTGTTAGATCCTTAATCATGAGCCTCCCCACCATATTGCAATAAATATCGTACCGTGAGGTTTATACCGTGATGATATTGTATCGTGAGACTTGGATATCGTTACACTCCTTCTGGTCACTCTAACTTTGCAGCCAAAACACACCATAAACTGTGTAAAGAAGTGGACGTCACACATAGCTACAGTCAAATGAAGCTCACAGAGGCCTGCAGTCTCAGGAGAAATTGGAGCCCAGTTACATATTTGGAATAGAAAATTATTGAATCGTTTGTTTATTTTTCATATTGTTTTGTTTAATGCATTGTTGTGGAAGTTCTGTCTGCTTACAAAAATTTTCCCAACATTTATTTATTTACTTACTCATCTATTTATTCATTTATTTACATAGACTCTTGCAGTGAAGTGTATTGTCATTGTACCTTAAGTGTCTGAAGCCCGCAGAGCCAAATGGCGCTGTCTGAATCATTCGACTGGTTGAAGAGGAGGGAGTCGAATTCCTGTGATCTGTCCTGTCCCGAAAATATATCTCCCATGACCTAAGAAATCAAACAAATGTTAAACTTAAGGTCTCAGAGATCGATACAGAAAAGCAGCATGACAGAAAATCAATAAACGGTTTAAACAATTCTAAGCTTTCACCACTAGATGTCACCAGCGTCTTCTTAAATGATAGTGCAGTTGTGTCGTGACTAAAATGTGAATTTTTTGGGTTTTTTTTTTACATTCATAGTTTTAATCTAATCTGATAATGTAGTGTTTAATAAAAGTTTAGTCACATACTTCAGAGTGACGTTTCTTTGGTATTTAAAGGTCCTGTATTACGCAACATTGACCCTTGTGAACCTGCGAATGTTGACTCCTCCACAAAAACAAACCCAGAGTTGTGTTTTTTTTTCATTCCCACATGTTTGAGTAACACTTTATAATTAGTCCAAAGCTCAAAATGCTCAGTTCCACATTGCGAAGTCATGAAGCGATAGTTTTCAAGTTTCAAGCAGCTACTTTTTACTTTTACTTCTTTAGAGATCGGCAATTCCAGGACAGAAATCATCTGAATGATTCTAGTGACGGTGTATGGAGTTTAAAAACACAGTGGAGCACTTCCTGTATTAACACATTTGCTCCTGTGTTCTCCTTTGTTTTTGCTCTCCCTTTTTTTTTTTTTTTTTTGTACGTAAATCCCATTTGCAAGCCCTGGATCTGGAGTTGAGTTAACAAAAACAACATTGAGACACTTTTTATTTGATAGGATTACAAACTTTTGTTACGTTACCATTTGTTTGTAATTACTTAGAGTTCGGTTTGGTTAAAGAAATATTTCATTTGTTAATTATTTTTGTTTTAAAACCTTAATTTTATTTTCCACCACATTTTTTTCTGTCACTTAATACATTACAATTTTAGTTAACCTTATACATCTGTTTTTTTTTTTTTTTTTATATGTTACTTCCTCCTCCCTGGCTGAGCTGGTCGTAACACTGGAACAGAGCGTTTTCCGTTTGAGAGAAGAACTCTGACACAATCTGCAGGATTTGTGTGTTAAACTTGTGCGAATGAAACAAAACACGACTCCAGGTCTGTTTGTGATGAGAAAACAACATTTCGGTACAACATAGATCAGAAAATAGCGTAATATGTTTTTGCATCATTATTAATGTAATTATTACTACTTTATTTTTTTATTATTATTTTCTGGTCAATATTACTATTACTATTGTATTTTTATTTTATCAATATTATTTTTATTTATTTATTTTTAAATGTTTATTATTATTATATTTTTTTCTAAATTTTATTATTATTATTTTTTTTTTTTAATTTAATTTTTCAGCGTCTGTTAAGGGTGGGTATGGGGAGGGCGAATCGGGGTTTGGAAATGGGGAGGAGGGGGTTTAAATGTGGCATTTGTATATTTGTACATCTTGTGGCATTACTGTGTGGCCGTAAGACCACAATATAGGAAAAAATAAATAAATAAAATATATATGACAAAGAAAATTGCGTAATATGAGCCCTTTAAGTGATTAAAATGATAATAATATTAAAATCTGAAGCTGTATTCTGGTGTCTTACAGGAGTGGAGCTCAGGGACACTTTGCAGTCGATCATATGAGGCTCCGAGTGTCTGACGCTGGCGAAAGCTCCAAGAACGTTGGAGAACAACGCCGAGAACCCGACCTCCACTTCTGCTCCGCACGGAAACTTCAGACACTTCTTCTGAGGCAGCTCTGAAACACAACAACAAACAAACAAGAGTGAGTGAGCAGCAAAAACTCTAATAAATTTCATATTAAAACTTTGCATGTATTTCTATGGCTGAATGTTTCTGCTGTTACCATGGTGACACAATGCACACATTAGTAAACGCAGCCAAAAAAAAAAACATTTTAAGTTGTGAGTGAAGTTTAAGTGAAAAGTTGTACAGTATCTCTATTGGACGGAAAAGAGTTATAAGATCGTCTGAAAACTAAAAATGAAATAATAAAAAAAATAATAATACAAAATACAAAATGGGAGTACATTTTCAGGAGCCTTTGATCAGTCCGAGGCGTTCATGGTCCTCTGTAGGAGTTTGGTTTCAACAAAAAGGTGAGAGTGACTCACTGAACACGTCATTTACTGTTGGCGAACGCATTTTATCTGGTGACTTTAATGTTAGTTGAGAGGAACTTGTTTAATCAGATCATCTATTTTACTTCTGATTAAATTCTTTATAGTCAGATTGTGTGTAAAATGAAACTCAGATTTATTTTTTTTATTAAAGACAATGAATATAACATTAAACAAAATATAATAATAAACATGAAAACAAGATGCAGACACAAAAAACAGACATCCCTGTTTACCCGGGACTAGGGCTGGGTATTATTCAGAAGTTGCCGATATGATACGATACCTCGATACCGTGAGCTTACGATTCAGTACGATATATTTCAAATCGATTCGATATGGGTCAATAAAAAATAATGTCTAAATCATGGCTGTGATACTAAAAGTCTTTGTCAAACCACTTCTTGTGCAAAGTTCAAATGAAACACAAACATTTTAATCATCAAAACAGTGAAAATGTCAAATGTGTCACTAAACGACCTTCATTCCCTTAAACAAGCAACAAAACTGTAGCGCTGTAACTAAATAATTATTAAAATACATCAAAAAAATACTCTTGGTGAAATATCGATACTGTATCATCACATTAAATTATACGATATATCGATATTTCAATATTTTTGTATACCCTTACCCGGGACAGTCCCAGTTTTGAGCCCTGTGTCCCCTGTCCCAGCAGATTTATACAAAACCCATTGATTTGTCCCAGTTTTATACAAGAAATGTTCCCAGCCAACAGTAAAGAGACACATACATTGTCATTTGTCATTGAAAAGCTGCCTAAAAATGCCGAAACACAAAAAAATTGCGACTGCTGGGTCCAGAAACAAAAAAACAACTCTGGAATGAATGAATTATACATTAAACGTGTTTGTTTTGTTTATATTTTCTCTCTTATATATACAGTAAGTCGTGAGTAAAATTGTAAATACAAACTTGCTGTTCATAAGCTGCTTTTTAGACCAATTTGATACCCAGCAACAGTAAAGAGAGGACTATATTTTCATTTGTTGAGCTAAAATACAGAAAACCGTGCTTGGAAATTACTATAACACGGTGTCCAGATGTTCCTATTTACCCAGGACAGTCCCAGTTTGGAGCAATGTGTCCCCTGTCCCAGCAAATTTACCCAAAACCATTGATTTGTCACAGTTTTATATAAGAAATGTCCTAGATGTCCCTTTTTTGACCAATCTGATCCCAACCAACAGTAAAGAGAGGCATACATTATCATTTGTCATTGAAAAGCCGCCTAAAAATGCCAAAAACACAAAGAAAACCATTTGTTTGTCCCAGCTGTCCCTGTTTAAGATCAATTTGATTCCCACCAACAGTAAAGAGAGGACTATATTGTCATTTGTTGAGCTAAAATACAGAAAACCGTGCTTGGAAATTACTATAATAGTGTGTCCAGACATCCCTATTTACTCGGGAAAGTCACAGTTTTGAGTCCTGTGTCCCCTGTCCCAGCAGATTTACTCTAAACCACAGATTTGTCCCAGGTGTCCCTATTTTTGACCAATTTGACTATTGCCAACAGTAAAGACAGGCATACATTATCACTTGTTTAGGTAAATTACAGAAAAGCTGCTTAAAAATGACCAAAACACAAAAAATATAACTATACTGACTTACATGTTAGTCAGGAATAGGCCAAGTGCAAAACAATTTTCCTTAATTATGCTCGTTTATTATTATCACTGAAAACAGGGATGTCCAAGTTTTTCATTTTGAAAATCTTGTCGCCCTAAACAATACCAAAAATGAACAAAGCTTCCCAGGGACACACACGCACACAAATTTAAGTTAATAAAAATAAAAGTAATGTCATAGTGCAGCAAAACATACATACAGAACTACTTGCCCTGCTTATATTTATATTTTAACCTAATTATAATTTAATTTTCTTTTCTTATTTTCCTCAGTTTTGATAAACAGCGTCATCAGAATGTTCAAAATTTTAGAACAGCAGCACCTTTTCAATAATTAAACGAATAAAGGATGTAAATGTGAATGGCTTTACAACACTATAACAAAACATAAACGACTATTTTGAAATTCCAAACCACAAAATTGAACTTGAGCTTCAGAAAAAGTGTAATTTACGAAGAAAAGTGTGATATATCTGTAGATGAAGTGAAAAACTGTAATGGACTCAACTTTTCTTTACGTATTTTTCCAGTAAACCCTTGTTTAAAAACGTTTAGTGTCTATCATAAGTTCCTCTTAAACAAACAAATCACATAAAACACAATTGTAAATGTTTTTAAACTGTGCTCTTGTATCACTCACATGTCTCTGAGTGGATTTCGTTTGATAAATTTCCTTTGTTTTGTTCATATTTCGTGATTTTCTGAAGTTTTCCCATTGAAATCGCATTACGTTCCATTTCACTTTTGCCTCCAGCTGCCTCCTTTTCAGAATTCCTAATGTTTTTGTTTTTCAAATTTGATAATAGCAAGAATTTTAGCAGCAGCAATATCAGATTTAAATTTAATACACTATAAAAAACACACGCGAAAAACATGAAATGACAAAAGGATCCATGTTCAGTGAGGATTCTGCTGCTGTCGTGTGTTATGTTTGTAAAACCGCACACAGGTATTTCTGGAAACATTTAATCGCTTTTCTATAGGCGAGTTTCATTGTTGACAAAAGCGCGCGTTGCATGCTGGGAATTATTTTGGTCGGCGGCAAGAAACACTAATTCAACATGATGGACGGAGCGAGAAAGCACGTAAAGGGTATTGATCCCGGTTATTTATCCACTCTAACGGCAGAGGACCCAAGACAATTTGACCAGAAATTGGTCATAAGCATCGACGGAGCCAAATCACCCTTTTCAACCCCAACAGAGCCTGGACCAAACCAAATTTCTGGTCAGAATCGCCAACTACCTGGCCAAATACTCACTTCGGCGATATCCACAATGACTTGGTGGAAAATCCTGGGCCATTCACAGCAGAAAAGATGAAAACCTCCAAGAGTCTCGATGTGTTGTTGAACTTGTTGGAGTCCACGGTTTGTTAGGATCTTCTTCGTTTGCTCTGCGGATGTTTGAAAGCCGTTTAATTCGCCGTAAGCGGTTCTTTTCACTCAGAATACGAAAAAGACATTTTCCTTCTTCCGTGCTTCTATTTGTGCATCCGATAATGCAGCAGGAATTTACCATTATCGGGGATAAATACGCGAGGTTACACACTGTGTTTGACCGCTACCGTGTTTCCTGCCTCCGACCAAAATATTTCCCAGCAGCAACGCGGGCTTTTAATAACAATGACGTCAGCTGAAACTCGCCTATAGAGGGATTATCAGAGTACATCACTTTACGCTCCTGTCTCCTGCAGAAAGAGCCGCTGTCCTGTCCTGTCTGTATCATGTCAAAGTTTGTATCAGATCAGTGTCTGGGATCATGTCAGTGTCTTGTAGATTTCAGCAGATTTCAGGGTCTCCGGGGGGCGGGGATAAGTGTATCGTAAATTGTCGTTTACACACTCACCTGTATTTAACGCATACAGGTCATGAAAACATATCTCAGTCACTATTGTTCATTTATCATCAGATCTTATTTTATCACATGGGGATAAACTGTTTAATGCACCGTCTATATTACCAACCAGGTTACAGGTCAGATCTGTGGAGAGGCGACCCCACTCACTCAAAAACAGGCAATGGAATGGTATTGTTAAGCTTTAAAATTTTAATAATATATTTTTGGAAAGTCTATGAGAAAAAAAATGTATGAAAAATTTACTTCTGGAATCAGGTGGAGAGTGAGGGTGCTTATGTGTTATTGCAATATGATGAAGTTATGTTTAGCCAGGCTGGCGCCACCTAGTGTCTCAGCTCAATTTCATTTCTCTCCAGTGACCAGATCAGGAATCAGAATACACTAGACGATTCGTAAAAACCCCTGAAGTGCGAGTTTAGCAAAGAGCCAGATATTCTGTGACAGCAACGATTCCCGAGATCGAGGATTTAAACCCTCATGCTCTCCTCGGGGTCACATGGACCCGAAGAAACTTTTTTTTTTTTCCTTCCTGCTCTCTTGGGGCGAGTCAATCAGATCCAAAAATGTATTTTCTCGCCTGGCAAGAAAATAAATGAAAATAAGTTTCTGGGTCTGATTGACTCGCCACAAAAGAGCGGGAATGAAAAAAAAAACATTTCTTCGGGTCTATGTGACCCCGAGGAGAGCGTGAGGGTTTTAAATCTGGAACAAAGAGAATGTTTGGTGAATTTTATCAAGGGGAAAGATGTTATTGTCCTTCCTACGGGATTTGTGAAAAGCTTAATATACCAGTTTGCCCTGTTAATGGCGCATTACATACGTCACGACCAAAAAGCAGTGATTGGTTAAATAAAAAAAGTACCTGCCTACCATCGAGCAAATGAAATCTAACGCTGCGAGGTCAGACGGTTTCCACGAAGTGAAACCGGCTGATTAATCAGGCTAACATTTTACCACCATAGACTGTAAATCCATCCATCCATTTTTTTTCTACTTTTCTGGGGCCGTGTCGCGGGGACATCAGACTAAGCAGGGCCAGGGATTAAGCAGAGGCGTTCCCAGGCCAGCCTAAAGACAAAGTCCCTCCAATGTGTCCAGGGTCTTCAATGGGGCCTCCCCCCGGTGGGACATACCCGGAACACCTTCCCAGGGAGGCGCCCAGGAGGCATTCGGAACAGATGCCCGAGCCTCAGCTGCTCCTTTCGATGTGGTGGAGCAGCAACTCTACTCCGAGCTCCTCCAGTGTGACTGAGCTCCTCACCCTGTCTCTAAAGGAGCGCCCAGACACCCAGTTCACTTTGTACTGAAAAACTGCCGCCGCTCTCTCTGTGACTGCTGCTGTGAGCCCCGTCATTTTGGTCTTAAAATGTTCGTATTAACCCGCTCTACATGATCCGAGAGTTTTTCTTTTGCTTTTTCATCCGTAAATGTGTGAGTTTCTCTGTGAGTTTCATTTGACTGGAGCCAAACGCTGTGGGCCACATCACACTTTCTTAGTCCACTTCTTTATACAGTCGGTGGTTGATTTCTGGCTGCACCAAAGCAACACGAAAACAAAAAAACGGCCGACTGTTAGGAGGGACGAGCTTCAACTCAAACAAAAATAACTAATGATTTGAAAATTCCTGAACAGCTAAAGGGTTTTCAGTTTCATTCAACAATTCTAAACTAATTATTCTGCATAGTGAATGCTCGAATTGTCAGCTCAAAACAGAAAACTGAAACCTACAAATGAGGAACTAAAGGGTGAAAATATCTGATATCAGCAAAATAGAAACTGACTGATTCATTTTATTGTGGGTTATTGACGTGCCAGACATTTATGTGAACTTGGTCACATGACACTCGGCCCAAGGGACAAAGAGGAAATGAAAATCAAGTTCAGAACACAGACGTTTTAACTTTTCCGGTGTAGGGTCCGTCATATGCTTTTCTCCATGTTCTTGCTTTGTCTAGAATGTTCCACGGTATGGCATTAAACCTTTTTTATCTTCACGGAGACCAAACCAGACCAAGTTACAGGTCAGATCTATGGAGAGGCGACCCCGCTCACAGTCAGAATGCAGTTTTTCTAAGTATTTTTGAGTTTTAAAACCTCCTGTAATTGAATAAATGTAAAGTAGAGCTGTTTAAAGTCATACTGTGGAACATTCCAGACAGAGCAATGATTGTAGAAACAAGCAGGTGATGGACTCTCCATGAGAAAAGTTACACAATGCACCTTTAAAATGCCTATGATGGTTAGACTACTAATTTTACAAAAATACTGTTAAGATTTTTGCAAAAACTTTCATTCTCATTTTCCAAATTTGACCTTTTTTTTTTTTTTTTTAAATGTACTTCTTGGTTGGAAATCTGTAACTTCACACTCGGGAATTCCATAACTGTTACTTAGCAACCATGTAGTACACTTGACCAAAACTCGTCAAATGTGCATAGAAATTATTATTTGACAAGTAAAAACATAAGAAATACCTGTATTTTGTTGAAATTGAGCATCATTTTTGGTTAGAATTCTCCCTTTGTATGACCGTAAATGAAAAAAAAAAAAAGGAAATTTTTTCATTCTTATTGTGGTTTGCTTTGTACGATCCTAAACCATAAACTTTTGTGCCTTTGTTAATATTAGTATTAGTTTGTACAACCATAACAGGGTAAAAAAAAAAAATGCAAAAAAACTGGCACCTTTAAAAAAAAAAAGAAGATAAGAACTAAGAAAACAGTTATTGTATTTCTGTTCGAGGGGTTAGTTTATGGAATAACCTGAGTGATGATTTCAAAAAGTCTAACACTGCAGAAGCCTTTAAAAAAAGAGTATAAATCTTTATGTTTTAAATGATATAGAGCTCTGGAATGAATTAATTATGCATAAAATTTTGTTTGTTTTAATTTATATTTTGTCTCTTAAATATACAGTAAGTCGTGAGTAAAACACAAACTTGCTGTTCATATGCTGCTTTTCTTTCTTGGAATTATGTCATTGTTTAACAGGGGTTTGACGTTACAAGTACTTTTTACTTCAGCCTAAACTTTTTTGGTCATGATCTACAAGGATTGTAGTCTATTTTTGTTTTGTTTTGTTTTATAGGGCTGCAAAATGACTAAATAAACTACTACTACCACTACTCCTGTGCTGTCGTAATTATGATTTAGAACTCTCTACTTCATGTAATTTTTATTATATTTTTCAACTTTTCTTCACAAATTGCATCTTGATTTATGTAAAACTATAATTTATATCTAATAACAGGTATAATCAGGTATAAAAACAGGCACCAAATTAAGTCAAAATTACAGAGAATCATAAAAATCTGTCATGTATGCTTTAATAGTTTTGTCAGCTCACCGTTGGCTTGCCTCCAGCAGACGTCCCGCAGGTGCAGTTCCCTCGTGTGGCCAGAGGGGCGCACCGGGTCTGTGAGCGAGCGAGCCTCCTTCAGCGTGTGTCTGATCTCCACCGCCTGTTTCCCCTTCACCAGACCGTCTTTAGCCACGTCTGTCACAGAGAAAACAGAGAAATGTTCAAATGAATCCTTATAAGGACTTGTACAATTCCGTTAAAAAATGCTTAAAAGTGCACAACACAGTTGTGTTTTGTTTCATTCACATGTTTGATTAACTCTTTATTGTTAGTCTGTCCATATCTCCAAACTTCAAAATTGCTCTGTTCCACCTTGTGATGTCATGAAGTAGAAGTTTTCAAGTTAACAGCTCCTTTTTTACCTTTTGTTCAGCAGAGATTGGCAATTCCAGGGCTGAAATCATCCAAATGTTTCTAGTGAAGGTGTGTGGAGTTTCAAAATACACTGGAGCACTTCCTGTGTTACCACATGACATCACAAGGTGGAACAGAGTATTTTCAGTTTGAGAGAAAAACTGTTAAAGCCTAAATATGCAGGTTTGTGTGTTTAACATGTGTGAATGAAATAAAACACAACTCCAGGTCTGTTTGTGATGAGGAAACAACTTAAAAAAAAAAAATAAAAAAATCTGAAAATAGGGTAATATGATGAAAAAAAAAATCATTAAAAGTACGCATTATTAGTAGGGCTGGGTATCATTAAGAAGTTGCCAATACGATACATATCTTGATATAGTCCATTCAATACAATTCGATACAGTTCCAGACAAAGGCTAAAAAATTATGGCTGTGATTCAAAAAGTCTAGCCTGATTCATCAGCCGGTTTCACTTTGTGGAAACAGTCTGACCTCACAGTGTTAGGATTCGTTTGCTCGACAGTAGGCGAGTACTTTTTTTATTTAACCAGTAGCTGCTATTTGGTCGTGACGTATGTAATGCTCCGCTAACAGGACTAAGTGGTATATTAAGCTTTTCCCAAATCCAGTAGGAAGAAGGACAATAACGTCTTTCCCCTTGATAAAATTCTCTTTGTTCTGGCTTTAAATCCTCGATCTCGGGAATCATTACCAACACAGAACGTTTTTCGCTGATTGGCTGGTGTCCGAACTCGCACTTCCAGGGTTTTTGCGAAAGGTCAAGAGTATTCTGATTCCTGACCTAGTCGCTGGAGAGAAATGAAATTGAGCGGCTACAACAAGTCTATTAAGTCCACTAAGTTTGTGCAAAGTTAATATGAAAAACACCCATTTTACTCATCAAAACAGTGAAAATGTCAACACAACTGTAGCTCTTACACAAAATAATTTAGTAAAATATACCTCAAAATAGTCATGGCGATATATTGATACAGCTGCCCACGATATCGATACTGTATATTTTTGCACACCCGTAATTATTAGTAAATATTCTCTATCTTCCTTGCAGCTATGAGCCTTATTAGTGAGCTGCAAAACCAATCCTTAGTTGCAGCTCTGATAGCTTCCATCGTGACTTTGCCCAAAAGCTGTGCCTCGCTCTGGTGCCAGCAGGTTTAATTTCATAAATCATCAAGATCCACATGAGCCTCAGATAACGTGTAATGAAATTTTTTAATCGAGCATTAGCCAACACTTCTTCAGTTAGTCACTTCAAACCAAACCCCTAAACACAATCATGAAAATCCATGTTATATTTTCTCTTGAGTTTTCAGACTTGTATCTTAAAGGTGCATTGTGTAACTTTTCTGGAGGAGAGTCCGTTAAATGCTTTTCTCCATTGCTTTGTCTGGAATGTTTCACAGTATGGTATTAAATGGTGTTTCTATCTTCATGGAGACCAAACCAGATCAAGTTACAGCTCAGATCTGTGGAGAGGCGACCCCGCTCACTCAAAAACAAGCAAAAGAACGCCTGTTTTTCTAGGTATTTTTGAGCTATAAAATTTTAATACAAATTTTGGGAAAATAGATGAGAAAAAATAAATTTAAAACATACTTCTGAAATTGGGGTGCTCAGCTGACACTGTTAAAGGTGCATTGTATAACTTTTCTAGGGGCGGGTCTGTCAATAGGTTTTGTTTTATAGAGATGTTATTGTGTTGTCTGGAATCATGCAATCTGTCTGCAATCAAAATGTTTTTCTCCATGGACATGTTATTAGTTTGTCTGGAATCTTTCACAGTATTAAATGGTGTTTCTATCTTCATGGAGACCAAACCAGACCAAGTTACAGGTCAGATCTGTGGAGAGGCGACTCAAAAACAAGCAAAAGAACGCCTGTTTTTCTAGGTATTTTTGAGCTATAAAATTTTAATAATACAAATTTTGGGAAAGTTGATGAGAAAAAATAAATTTAAAACATACTTCTGAAATTGGGGTGCTCAGCTGACACTGTTAAAGGTGCATTGTGTAACTTTTCTAGGGGCGGGTCTGTCAGTAGGTTTTGTTTTATAGAGATGTTATTGCTTTGTCTGGAATGTTTCACAGTATGACATTATTTCTATCTTACAGGTCAGATCTGTGGAGAGATGACCCTGCTCAGTTAGAATGCCTATTATAAAAATGTAATAATATATTTTTTGGAAAGTCTATTAGAAAAAATGAATGAGCAATTTATTTCAGAAACTGAAGGCTGCGCAGACACTAAAATGCTTTTCTCCATGGACATGTTATTTCTTAAGAGACCAAACCAAACCAAGTTACAGGTCAGATCTGTGGAGAGGCAAACCCACTCACTCAAAAACAAGCAAAAGAACACCTGTTTTTTCTAGGTATTTTTGAGCTATAAAATTTTAATAATGTATATTTTTGGAAAGTCTATGAGAAAAAAATGAAAGAGAAATTTACTTCTGGAATCAGGGGCTGAGCCGACACTGTTAAAGCTGCATTGTGTAACTTTTCTGGTGGAAGGTCCATCATAAACTTTTCTACCTTCATGGAGACCAAAACCAAGTTACAGGTTTGTTTTTTTTTCTGTTTTGATTTGTAGGTACTTTTGAGCTATAAAACCACCTGTAATAAAAAAAAAAAAAGTATCGTAGATCTGTTTAATGTCATATTGTGGAACATTACGCAGAGCAATGACGTCTCCATAGAAACAAAACAGGTGACGGACCCCCAAACGAAAAGTTAACACTGCACCTTTAAATTAATTTAGTATTTTTCTTGAGTTTTCAGACTTTTATATTAAAACGTTTTTGACATCTGTGCAAATTCGTGCATTGTGTCTCCACGGTAACGGCCTATTTCTACGCTGAGGAAAAAGAAAAACACCCGATTCCGATAGCGATAGTTCCTTTACTCGGCTGTTTTCTAATGCTGGTTTCTTGGAATGGCGGTGTGGACTTGTGAATGCGGAGCTGCAGATCGGAGCGTGACCCCGGGAGCAGAGCCGTCAGCGTGCGACGGAGCAGCAGCTGTTTTGGACTCTCTTCTCAGGTTTCCGCTTGTTCTCCTGCCAACAGTCGCAATGTCCGAAGAATGAGGTCATCAGACACTTAACGGGCACAAGGAACGAATCCTGCCATCACCTCTCTATCACCGATACGCATGTAGGTCAACCGTTATTTATCTATTTATCTGCCCGTGGAAAATTATTTGTTTCGTCAGATTTTGAACGTTAAACACCGTTGGATTTCTCACTTTGAGTCTTTTTACTCTTTGAATGATTTTTATTCAAAATTTCAGACGATTATATTTTGAGGTATACGTTTTTTAATATGTGCTTAAAAAATTCACCTCATAAATATTTTCAAGCCTCAAATTCAACAGTCAGACAAAGTAAAAGTAAAATTCATGATGGAAAAAATTGCAGCAAAGATCCAAGACTACGTTTACACTGAAACAAACCCACGTATCACCGTATCGGAAACGATTTGCGTCCAGACACGTCATTTCTGTGTCCGCAAGCCTTCGCTATCCACACAGCTTTGAGCGTATTTGTTTACATTTTACAGAAACAAAGCTTAAAACCACATGGCTCATTTGCATAAACTAAGCGCTCAAAAAAAAAAGAGCGCTGATGCGGTTCAGCTTCTGCCGGACTAAAGGACATGACTCAGTGGAATATGAGTGTTCTTTCTGTGACAGAGGGATGTTCTGCTGATGATGAGTCTGTTCTGTGTTTCTATCGTGTTGGAGATGGTTCATGTTAAACTTTTAAGAGATTATTCATCTGCAGGTCATGAGCACAGACAGTTTATATATTCTAGCCTCTAGCGTTTTGGTGGTGAGTTACTTTGCAGCGCATAGACCTACATCAGAGTATCAGTGTTTTCGGGCGTCCACACGGTGCCGGATCAGATCTGTACTGAGATGAATTCGTGGGAGCTGGAGGCACCAGATGGTTCCGTCTCTGGAGTCGTTTTTAATCGGGTAAGTGTGAACGAACACTGCATCCACAATGAAAACGACTCAGATACGTACTAGTGTGGACGAAGCCTAAGATGCCAACGGAGGAGGAATTGATCCTAAGTGAGTCGATCTAACATAGTAACAACCACGAAACGCTGTAGGAACGACTCATTTTGAATTTTAAACACACTGAAAATGTGAATTTCAACTGCAATTGAAATTCAGAATAAAAACTTTTTTTCTCACTGTTAATTTTGTAACTGTATGTTTTTTTCAGACTTACAAAATTAAAAGTGAGAAATTCGGCAGCATTTAAAATTCAAATGTAATGAAACTAATAACCATTTTTTGCAGTAAAATCATGCTGGGGTGTTCTACATGTATCTCTAGGGAGGAATGTTCAGTCAATACTAGGGCTGGGTATCATTAACAAGTTGCCGATACGATACATACCTCGATACATACTTCTTATATATATATACATATACATTGAAGATTATTTCCATGTCGTAGTTGGCCAAGAAAGTCTCAAAATATTTAAACTATTATTTTAAAAAGTTCTGTAGTTAAATAACAGCTGCATGACACAGTTGGATCAGTTTTGTCTTATTTGATTCCAGTTTAAACAAAAAAATATATCAGTCTCAACACAGAATCGGTATCGGTTGATATCAGGTATCAGCTTATACTTAAAGACACAGTATCGAAAATGGTATCCAAAGTCAAAAAACTGGACCAGTGCATCCCTAAACGATACAAGTGTTCATGATCCTGTTTATTGGTTTGATTTCCAACAAAAAGATGAGACGAACTGAAAAACTGTTGGCTAATTTTATGTGAGAGAGATTTGTTTACCAGCACAAATCAGTTTACCTGTTGCAGTTCCAGCTAAATCAGTTCTTTCTGGTCAGATTGTGTTAAAATAAAGCTCAGATTAAAGTCTAACAGAGCCTCAGACAGAGCAGTGCCTTTGGTTTATCTTACCTTCGGAGACCCGCTCTAAAACGTGCGTGACTTTTTCTGGCAGTGAGATGTACTTGTTGAGATACTTGGTGAAGATCCCGGTGCTTTTCCCCCGATCCTGGACCTCAAACGCCTCAGCATCTTCACATCTGCAGCAGAAAAGTAGAAGAAGAAGGTACAGTGAGCTTTATTACACCAGGAGTCTCCAACATTTTTCACATTTGAGGAACTTTGATAAAAAGAAAATGGCACGGAGCTCCTTTGTTTAGGTGTTTAGGTGATTTAATGTGTTTTCCATGTAAAACGCAATTGGGAATTAATATGTCCATGTAAACTCGAAGGACAATATTTTAATTCCGGACTATTTAAGTCAGGACAATAAGAGGACGTGGCCAGTGTCACAATAGAATCAAAACTGCAATCTGAGTTAGCAGTTATAGTCCCTGCGGTCTTCCTCAGAGTCACGTGATGTTGCTGCTCAGCTGATTTAAACAGATTTTGGAGCTGTTTTCCTACCGGTGGAGGCAGGACGACAGCGCCATCTGCAGTCCGACTTCCTCAAGACAGTATCCCTGGTGTGTGAGAGTAAAAAAGCCCCCTTGTCCCGGTTTATAGTCCCGTGGGCACGTTTCAGTATTTCGATTGCCTCTTTAATCCAGCGACGATGTTTGTTGTCCTATATATAAATCAGCTGTCCGGACACCAGAGCTGAGGACTTGAGACTTCACTTGCTAAAATAGACAAAGACTTGGGACTTGACTTGATAAAATAGACAAAGACTTGGGACCTGACTTGGACTTGAAGGTAAATGACTTGGGGCTTGACTCGGACTTGAGGCCTGTGACTTGAGAAGACTTGATGCTTAGACTTGCTGACAAATGAACTGTTATTTAGCACTTAATTCTTTCTGTTCTGACCATAATAATTTGCACTCCTGTCAATACATTTAAAAAGGAAAAATCAACATTTCTACAACTCTTAGATAAATACTCATGTATAAATATACCATGACTTTGAAGTACAATTTACTTTAAAAATCATATAAATTGCAAAAATCTAAGCTATATGTGGTATTTTGGTTTAAAGACTTGAAATGACTTGAAGCTAAAAGGAGATAACTTGGGACATGACTCGAACTTGAGGTCAAAAACTTGAGACTTAGTTGAGACTTGCAAAACAACGACTTGGTCCCAGCTCTGCCGGACACGTCACAGCAACATCATGTGACCACTCTGAGAAGACTGTGAGTGAGCAAACTCCTAATAACATGAGTTAGCAGTTATCAAGTCACAAAGGCTCCAGTTATTTGGATAATAAAATCTCCTCTGTGAAGAACAAAATGTATTTTATAACCTCTAGTTTAAACCTCTACAAACGTGTTCTGAAATGTGATGTTCTGAATGGACTTTTGTATGAATTTATCCGTTATCTGTTTATATTTCAGTCTTTCTTTAAATATTAAAGCTGCATGTGACAAAGTGAGCCTTTATCCCATTTTAAATTCACATTATTTTATTTTAAACATTTTTATTTTGTAAGGGCACTTAGGCCCAGGAAAAGAAATCCTCGCTTTGCTTTGAAAGTTCCCTGGAAAGTCACCTGGGGGAGGTACTTCCTGCTAGGCGAGGGTATAAAGCAAAGCAGGTGTTGGGATTAGGGAGAGACTTCTGTGCAGATTGTTTTTTGTTTTTGATTTGAGTTACTTATTTTCTGTTTATTTGTACTTTCTTTTGCATTAACTTCAGAAGTCTGTTTTAAAATAAATTTTGTCTGGTCAAAGGTATTTTTTTTGTTGTCGTCTTCAACCTACCATATTTTCCGCACTATTAGGCGCTCTGGATTATAAGACGCACTGTTATTAAATTTTCTATTTTCTAACTTTTTTCACAAATAAACCGCACCGGACTTTAAAGGAAACACAACAGTGTGATGGGTGAGTGGTTTTGTTTGTTTGTGGCGTTCACGGTGACTCTGGGCTTTGTTCAGTTGTGGCGTGTAGGGAGGGTGCTGTCTGGGACCAACAGATTGTCGGCGTGTTCGCAGTGACTCAGTTGTTCAGTTTTGGCTCAGAAAGGCACATTGGACTCGCTTTTTTGGTTCGTTCCTCTGTTCTGTTCCTCATCGGCGTGGAGTGATGAGTGTGGCTGCGAGTGTTTTTGGCTGCGTGGTCTCTGTCTGCTCCGTGTGTGTTTGTGTGTTCTGCGGGTGGTGAGGCTTTGTAGTTTACTGAAGTCGTGCTGGGACACCTGAGTGGATTCGTGTATGGGGCGCTCTGGATTGCGGGGCGCACGGTTGTTTTTTGATGCGGTTAGAGGCTTAAGAGCGCGTCTAATAGCCAGGAAAATATGGTACTTTGACCACATTTGACCAGCTTCCCCACACTGCACTATGTAACTTTTTGGTTGCGGGTCCACCATCTGCATTTTTTTCTATGGATATGCCATTTTTTCTGTCTGGAATGTTCCACAGTGTGACATTAAACAGCTCTATCTTACATTTATTCTATTACAAGTGTTTTTATAGCTCAAAAATACCAAGAAAAACAACATTCTGACTTTGAGCAGGGTCGCCTCTCCACAGATCTGACCTGTAACTTGGGTCTTGTTTGTTCTCCACGAAGATGGAAAGGTTTATTAATGTCATACTGTGAAACCTTCCAGACAAAGTGATAACATCTCTGTGCAGAAAAACGCTGACAAACCCTCCACCAGACAGTGTTGTTTATTCAGCTCCAGTGAATTTCCTTCCTGATAATAAAGTATTTCTAATCTAATCTCGGTTTGGTGTGAGCTCATCGTTCTGGTCAGCTTGCTGGAGGAGCTATCGACACTGAAATTAACACACCCACTTCTGGTCTGTTGAATGACTCTGAGTGTAAACTGTGAGTCATATTTGCTTAATGGTTCTGTCTCCTGATGGGTGCAATCTGACCAAAACTGAAGAAGCTGCTGAGTTTTGATTTGTTTATGTATTTATTTTTCTTTTCTCAGGAGACACTGGGGAAGGGTAATGGGAGGGTGGAAAAAAATTATTATACTATTACATCTGCTTTATGTGCAAAAATAATAATTGCTTTTATTATATTATTATATTTATTATATTTATTATTTATATTTATTATATGTATTATATATATTATTATGTTTTTTTTTTTTTTGTTTTTTTGTGGCAGAGAGTAAAGGGAGGGGGGGAATAGTTTATATTATTACTAATAGTTTTTCTCTGCACAAAAAATAATAAAAAAAAAGCTGCTGAGATATTTATTATATTATTATACTTATATTTTATTTATTATTTATTATATTTATTTATTTATATTTATATATTATTCTATTTATTTATTTTATTTATGTTTATTTATTATTATTTATTTCCCTCAAGAGACAGTGGGGGAGAGTAAGGGGGGGATGTCAGAGAGAAAAACTAATTGTTTTTCTCTCTGACATCTGCTTTACATGCACAAAAAAGTAATAAATAAATAAATAACTAAATAAAAGAAGCTGGTGAGATGAGCACTAAAATCTCACTCAAAAACCTTTGACCAGTGACAGCAGCTCAAATTTGTTTTCTTGTGCTCTGGATCACACTGCAAAAACTCAAATCAAGCCAAGTTAAGATCACTTGAATTAAGAAAGTTTTATCATGATTTGAGTAAATAAAATAAAAAATGAACAAGGAGGTGAAAATGATAAGAAAAGTCTGAACAGAATCCTGCTTTTTATTGAAAATATAGTCACAATTGTAATCATCTCAGTTAGATTTTCTTTTCCAAAACTGTGCAATCCTAAATGCCCCTGTTCCAACACATTTGCAAGAATTTAAGGTGCATTGTGTAACTTTTCTAGTGGAGGGTCTGCACTTTTCTCCATGGAGATGTTATTGCTTTGTCTGGAATATTTCACAGTATGAAACCAGACCAAGTTACAAGTCAGATCTGTGGAGAGGCGACCCCACTCACAGTCAGAATGTCTGTTTTTCTAGGTATTTTTGAGCTATAAAACCACCTGTGATTGAATAAATGTAGAGCTGTTTAATGTCACACTGTGGAACATTCCAGGCAGAACAGTGACATATCCATAGAAACAAGCAGGTGACGGACCCACACCCGAAAAGTTACACAGTGCAGCTTTAAGAGTGATTAAATATTATTTACGTACGTGCCGTATCCATAGACGGTGTTTCCAGGTCTCAGAGGCTGAATCACTGACGGGGCGCTCCCCTCTTTACTCCTTCGAAAACACACATTTGGTTTGTTACTTAAGTAAAAGTACAGATACTGGAGCAAAAAATACTCAAGTAAAAGTAAAAGTGTCACATGAAAAAACTACTTAAGTAAAACATGTTTAAAAATTTACTTAAAGAGTAAAATGTCAAAGTTTTTGAGCAGAGTTTGAGATGTAATGAAGCTTCAAATGTGTGATTTTGATACAGATTTGTTCTAAATTGACAGAAATTATTGAATTATTTTTGTTTCTACTGTTTTTATTTGTGTATTTTTGTTTTGTTCAAATTATAAATGAGGTAAAAATAAACCTTCAGCGTTTTCAGCAGGTCTCGAACGATAATAACAAATACTTTAATTTTTCAGTCGTGTTCAAAAATATAGTGGAGTAGAAAGTACAGATACCTGCTCTTAAATGTAGTGAAGTAAAAGTAAAAATGATCCACTTTAAAATACACTTCTACTTTGTTACATTCTACCATTAGTTTCAGATACCTTTTACCTTTTGCCTTCTCAAAATTAGTATAATCTTGGACTTACCATTTTCTGCAGGCATCTAAAAGGACGACACTCAGCGCAGTCTTCCTTTCCTGCATTTTTCCCATGATCCTTTGCACACAGACACATGTTGACGCGTGGTACGGCTGTGGAGCGTCAACGGGAACAAGGTAGTTTCTCCCGGCTCGTTCAAACCCATGGCCTGCGTAGTAGAAGAGACCTGAGGAGCACAAGAGTGGAAGAAGAAGAAGAAACTGGTCATTATGGAGAGATTAAAAATAAAACAGATTTTAGATCTTCTTTGTAGCTTTTAAAGGTCTTATACTACACAAAATTGAATCTTGTGAGCTTTAAGTCATAATGTTGTTATCTCCTCAAAAACAGACTTGGAGTTGTGTTTTGTTTCATTCACACATTTTTGAGTAATTGCTCAAAATGCTTTGTTCCACCTTGTGATGTTATGAAGCGGTAGTTTCCAAATTAACAGCTACAATTTACCTTTTGTTCAATATGAGATTGGTAATTCCAGGGCTGACATTATCCATATCCAGGTGTGTGGAGTTTAAAATCACAGTGGAGCACTTCCTGTATTTACACATGACATCACAACCAGAGCGGAACAGAGTGTTTTCAGTTTGAGAAAAGGGTTTGTGTGTTAAACATCCATCTATTTTCTTCCACTCATCCGGGGCCGGGTTGCGGGTGCAGCAGTCTAAGCAGGGACTCCCAGACTTCCTTCACCCCGGACACTTCCTCCAGCTCCTCTGGGGGGGACCTCGAGGCATTCCCAAGGCCAGTCCAGAGACTGTCCAGCCTCCAGCGTGTCCTAGGTCTCCCCCAGAGCCTGCTTCCAGTGGGACATTCCCGGAACACCTCTCTAGGGCGTCAGCGGGGTCCCACCCTGGAGCAAGTCCTGAGTTGCGCGCTTAACATGTGAATGAAGCAAAACACAACTCCAGGTCTTGTTTGTGATGAGGAACAAGAGCGTAGGTTTGCACAGGAACGGTGGGGACATGTCACAAAATAGTCCCTACCGTTTTATTTTAATAACCAAAAATATATTTATTCCGATATTTTTCCAAACTCAGTAGTATTAATTTAATGTTTTAATTCACATTTATTTTATTAGACGTTCTGAGATGTATTCAGTAATGTGACGACAGGGTTACACCTGCCGCTGTTTCATTGGCTGCAGCAGAGTGATGTCATTAGTGGAGCCAGGAGCCTAAACTGGGGAAGCGGCAGGACAGGGCCGCACCTGAAGATGTCGGCTTGAGCAGGCGTGGGTGAAGACACTGCACCAAACTTTGAAAAACTTTTCAAAAGGAACTTACTTGGCTTCATCTTAAATTAAACTTGTCTTATAATGAGTCACCGTGGAAAAAGAGCATCTATCACCACAAGTTCACCTCCCAAACAGAGCCGTACTCGTGCACTGTGACCCCGACTCAACTAATATTCCATGGAAAAATGTACGGACATGACCTCACAAATATCTCATCACCAACAAGGAAAGAGAAATCTGTTACAAACTTGTAGAAGGACAATGAACACAAACTGTCACTTATTTTGGACCTGCTCAGACTCTGTGTGTTTTTGGAAAGAATTTATAAAACATATACACAACGTCTGATACCATTTTACTCTTTCTTATAAAGATGTGCTGTTTGTTTTTTGCAGTGTGCATCATACAAAAAGTAAACGATATTATATAATTAATCTGATAATCAAGTAACAAGTAAGTATCAGTTGTTAACTAACATAACGAGGCCTATCATGAATACAATACAAATTCACAAAATAGCTCCATAAACAGGTCTACTACAGGAGGGTGTAGAGGAAAAAACATAACAGATGAGAACATGTTTAGTCATTTAACACAAATCTTCCGTCTCTCACACTCACCGTAAACCCCTGAGTCTAAAAGCTGGATGAAGTTGTCCACGGCGGCTTTCATCTGGTCTGTGGTGAGGTCCAGCAGAGACAAAACCCTGAAGCCCAACTGCTGCAGGAGGAGGCCCAGCTCGTACACGTCCATGACCGGAGCCGTGAGCCCGGGGTGGTGCGAGTAGTTCAGGTTCCCGATGAGCAACGCGACTTTATCTGTGGCTACAAAACACAAAACACAAAACAATACAGCATGTGCACTGCAAGAACTCAAATGTACAAGTTAAAGTGACTTGAATTAAAAGTTTTATCATGATTTGAGTAGATTTCAAGTAGTAAAATGATCCATCAATGGAACAAGACTTTTTTGTAATTAAAATGTGAAAATACATCTGGCTACACTTAAGAAAAACAACAAATCTCTGCACTTAAAAATACAAAACAAAACGTAAAGTTGCGTGAATTAAGAAAAACACACTTATTCCATTGGTTGATAATTTTACTTGTTGTTGAATCTACTCAAATAAAGTAAAATGTTCTTAATTTAAGTCATATTAACTGACCTAGATATTCCTTTACTAATCAGTGTTGCCATAGTTACTTTGAAATAGTAATTTGACTACTGATTACTTCTTTAAAAAGTAATTTAGTTAAGTTACTGACTACTTGCTTTTAAAAGTAACTATGTTAGATCACAAGCAGCAGCTGATCCACATCTGACTCGTGGCGGAGTGGAGATGACGTAACATCATAGGAAACGTGTCACCAGAGACGATTTATACGATCTTTGTGGTCACATAACCCACGTCGCCGAAAAATACAAATAATTTAATAACCTACGTCGCCCTGAAATGCAAAAATAGTAACGCACAGTGTATTAGGTAAGTAACTTAAATTTGACTACTGGTTTGGAAATAGCATTGCCTTAGACACGCGTTACTGAGAAAAGTAGTCGGACTACAGTTAGTGGCATCACTGTTACTAATTGATACTTTGCGGCTGAACTCATCAACGTTCCCTGGAGGTTTGACACCAACAGGAGGCACGGCTCTGTCTGAAGCTCTGTGACTGAAGCTAGACTTTCTGAGCTTTGTGTTAAAGATGGACTGTGTAACTATTCTGCTTGGAGGGTCCGTCACCTGCTTGTTTCTATGAGTATGTCATTGTTCTGCCTGGAATGAGCCACAGTATGATTTTAAACAGGTCTACCTTACATTTATTCAGTTACAGGTGGTTTTATAGCTCAGAAACAACCTCGAAAAACAGGCGTTCTGACTGCGAGCGGGGTCGCCTCTCCACAGATCTGACCTGTAACTTGTAAAGCTCATAATGATCAAACTCTCCTGAAAATGTGCTGTTTAAATCCATTTTGTGTCTTCCATCTTAAAACTTTTTAGAACAGTGTTTGCTAAGGTGTGTATTGTGTCTCCATTTTAACTTGTCAACATTCCACCACAGACACACACTACCGGTCAAAAGTTTTAATACTCAAATTTTTCCAGTTATTTATTGAAATTCAAGTCACGCAAGTCCAACGAAGAGCTTGAAATGGTACAAAGGTAAAAACTGAACAGCCAGAAGAGTGAAGCAACCTACAAGTGCCACACATTTATGGAAACTTCTGCAACAGACTTGGGAAGAACTTTCTGAAAAATATTTGATTTCTGTTGTAAAAAGAACGAGCCACGAGTGTGTTCAGCTGTTATATCTGCCAAAGATGGACACTTTCATCAATCAAGTATGGTGTTATTAAACTTTTGACCAGTAGTGTACATGCAGAACACCCCCAGCGCGATGCCACCGTAAAGTATCAACAGATAAACAAGTGCGTTGTCATGTTTTACCTGTGAGTGCTGCCGGGGTTTCCTCCACACTCGGCTTTGGTAAACCTGCAACAAAACATCACACATTCGCATTAAAGGTACATCGTGCATTGAGATGTTATCGCTTTGTCTGGAATGTTTCACAGTATGGCATTAAACCTTTCTATCTTCATGGACACGAGATGTTTTTCTAGGTATTTTTGAGATATAAAAACACTTGTGATTGGATAAATGTAAGACAGAGGTGTTTAAAGGGACTGGTGCTAGACTAGTGCATGTCAGTGGTCATAGTTATCCTGCCACTAAACCCACTCCACAAAACACCTGAAAAAAATCTATTATTACACCAGGCTGTCCATGTAAATGTCTGTGTTGATAAAATAATTATAGCAGTAAAACCAACCTTGCATTTGAAGGATTTCTGTCTGAGCAGGAGAGCTGTCACTGGTCCATAAGTCCAAGTCAAGTCCAAGTTGTCTGCTTTGAGTCATTTCAAGTCTTTTAAACCAAAGTACCAAATATAACTTAGATTTTTGCAATTTATATGAATTTTAAGACAAATTGTACTTCAAAAAAATCTAAGTATATATTTATATTTGAGAATTTATAGAGTAAATAAGAGTTGTAGAGATTAATTTAGTTATTTTTTTCATTTTTAAATGTCTTGACAAGATCTTAGTGTCAATCATTAAGGTCAGAATAGAAAGAATTCAGATTTAAAAGTGCTTCTCAAGTTCTAAGTCACTGACCTTCAAGTCCAAGTTGAGTCCGGCATTGCAGTTTAAGTCACATAAACGGGAAAAGGCCATTACCTGTTTTTTTCATTAATCATTTAAACACAAAATCGAAAACAAATCGTTATCTGCTTTTTTTCATTTTGGTTTTGGAGACAAATAATGAAGAAAAATTTTGTTTTTTCATTTTCTTATTTTTGGTTTTATATTGAAAAACGAATGAATGAATGATACACGGATGAGCCTGGCTAACGGTTCATGCGATGCAAGGTTAGTTTTATTTCAAACATTGTTCTATCAACACAGACATTTACATCGACATTCTGGTGTAATACGGTATTTTCCTATTGGCTATTGGACGCTCTCTTCAGCCTCCAACCCCATCAAAAAACGACTGAGCGCCCCACAAGCCAGAGCGCCCCATACACGAATCCACTCGGGTGTCCCAGCACGACTTCAGTAAACTACAAAGACGAAAAACAACCGCAGAACACACAAACACACACGGAGCAGACAGCGACCGCACAGCCACACTCATCACTCCACGCCGACGAGGAACGGAACGGAGGAACGGACCGAAAAAGCGAGTGCAATGTGCCACTTCTAGACACGACTGAACAACTGAGTCACTGCGAACACGCCGACAATCCAGTTGGTCCCAGACACACCCTCCCTACACGCCACAACTGAACAAAGCCCAGAGTCACCGTGAACGCAACAAACAAACAAAACCACTCACCCATCACACTGTTGTGTTTCGTTTAAAGTCCGGTGCGGTTTATTTGTGAAAAAAGTTCGAAAATAGACCATTTAATGCCTTATAATCCAGAGCGCCTAATAGCCTGGAAAATATGGTAATTGTTTTGCTTCGGGTGCTTTTTGGAGTGGGTAAGACTCACTTCCATCCAGTCCTTGTAATATTTTAAAAAGTGTCTTCACACGCCTCCAACACTCACTAGGAAATGAGGTCTTATGTCTAAAATTCCGAACTGTCCCTTTAATGTTACACTGTGGAACATTCCAGACCGAGCAGTGACATATCCACAGAAACAAGCAGGTGACAGACGCCACAACCAAAAAGTTACACAGTGCACCTTTAAACTTTTGTGAGTAAACGTCTGGATATTTCATGACAAATTACAGTGTCAATGGAGAAATCTGACACATTCTAGAAACTACCAAAAAGTGACACAGCGCGTCTTTAACGTGATTATCTGTGATCTAAAAATGCTGTTGCTCTAGGAAAGTCTGGAGGTTTCAGTTTCAGTTAAAACCTCTTCCTGCATTACTGAGCTCAGGCGCACGGTCTTCTTTGTCATCTCTGACAAACGGAAAGTACCTTGAATTCACAGTCAAGTGAAAATACAGGTTTGTCTGAAACAGAACTTGACATGAACTTTTGTACTGTCTGCCTAGATGTGGTTCAGTTGACCTCAGAGCATTAGTAAATAGGTTATGGAAAATAATTTGTTCCAGTAGATTTTGTGTTTTAAATAAAGATGAATTTCCCACTTTGAATTTTTTAACTTTTAAAAAACATGTTTGAATTATTTTTATTCTGAATTGGAGTTGCTGGAATTCTATAATCTGTGTGTCATTCGTTCATTCGTTTTTCAAAATAAAAACCAAAAATAAGAAAATGAAAAATCAACAGTTTTCTTCATTATTTGTCTCCAAAACCAAAATGAAAAAAACAGATCATGATTCGTTTTTTTCAGTTTTTGATTTTGTGTTTAAATGAAGAATGGAAAAAAAACTGATAACGACTGCGATGCTGGACTGAACCAGGACTGAATCGGGACTAAACCAGGACTAATCGTTTTCAGTCCTGGTCTGGTCCCGGTCTCAGTCCCGGTCTCAGTCCCAGTCTCAGTCCTGGTCTGTCCTGTCTCAGTCTGGTCCGGTCTGGTCAGTCTGGTCCCTGGTCTCAGTCTGGTCTCTGGTCTGGTCTGGTCTCAGTCCTGGTCTCAGTCTCAGTCTGGTCTGGTCCCGGTCTGGTCCCTCTGGTCTAGTCATCTCCCTGTCTGGTCTTCCAGTCTGGTCAGTCCCGGGTCTCAGTCCCGGTCTCAGTCCCGGTCTGATCCCAGTCTCAGTCCTGGTCTGGTCCCAGTCTCAGTCACGGTCTCTGTCCTGGTCTGGTCCCAGTCTCAGTCCTGGTCTGAGTCCCGGGCTGGTCCCAGTTCTGGCCCCGGTATCATTCCTGGTCTGCTCCCGGTCTGGTCCCGATCTGATCCCGGTCTCAGTTCTGGTCTGGTCCTGTTCTCAATCCTGGGTCTGGTCCCAGTCCCTGTCCTGGTGTCTGTCCTGGTCTGATCCCAGTTCTGGCCCCGGTATCATTCTCGGTCTGGTCCCGGTCTCAGTCTCAGTCCCGGTCTCAGTCCAGTCCTCACACTCAGAATATCTGTTTTCTGAGGCATTTTTCATCTTTAAAACCACCTGTAATTGAATAAATTTAAGGTAAAACTGTTTAATGCCACACTGAGGAATATTCCAGACAGAAAAGAGCAGGTGACAGACCTTCAACCAAAAGGTTGCACAGTGAACCTTTAAAGATTTGTGAAGAAACGCGACAAAGTTAAGGGAAACCTGTCACATTCTAGAAAACCACCAAAAGGCAGAGCTGGGAAGTAACTGAATACACGAGAAAATGCAAACTAAACAATAATTTTGAGCGACTTCCTGGTGCAGTTGCTCTTTCATTTTGCGATGTTTAGAATACAGAGACTTTTCTAGATTAAAAGGAACACGCTGTTGTTTTTGATCAGGTAATTTAGGCTTCAAGTAGCAGGTATCAGTGCGAAGAATAGAAACCACAGCTTTTTGCGGTGAGGGAGTTTTTTCATTCTTCAAGGAAACGCACAAAAGTGAAACAAATATGAAGGAGGTCTTAAATATGAAGGAGGTGTTTTTTTGTTTTTTTTTTAATCCTGTGTTGTGATTTACACTGTAATTTCAGTGCAACTTGGTATTCTCAGTAAGTATTCAGAACACAGTGCTCTGATTGAACATTATCGGAACACGTTACAAAAAATGTTTTAATGCGGGAGGCAAAATTTTGTAACTAAAGACGTTTCAAAGTGTTCTTCCATCATTATTCAGGCTAGAAACTCGGCAAAATTAGAATAACGAGCATATTGTCTATAACAGGGTGCTAAAAGACAATAAAAAGCCCAAACTTTACTCACCCAAATTAAAAATATTATTGATAGAAGAGGAGGAGACGCGGTCCGCACAGCATGGTTAAATCCTGGTTTAGTCCTGTTGTAGTCCTGTTTTAATCCGGTTTTAGTCCTGGTTTATTCCTGGTTTAGACCTGGTTTAGTCCTGGTTTACACCTGGTTTAGACCTGTTTAGACCTGTTTTAATACAGTTTTAGTCCTGGTTTAGTCCTAGTTTAGACCTAGTTTAGACCTGGTTTAGAGCTGGTTTAGTCCTGGTTTAGACCTGGTTTAGTCCTGGTTTAGACCTGGTTTAAACCTGGTTTAGTCCTGGTTTAGTCCAAAATGTGAAAACAGGAATATACCGCCGTGTAATCCATTTATTCCAATAAAGTAACTGTAATCCAATTCCCACTCATTGAAACAGTAACTGTAACCGAATACAGTTACTCATAATTTGTACTCTGATTACGTAACTTTGGTACATATAAGCTGTTACTCCCCAACACTGGTTGTGATTTACGCTGTAATTTCACTGCAACTTGGTATTCTCAGTAAGTATTCAGAATGCAGTACTCTGATCGCATCATGTATCGAACACGTTACAAAAAACTTTTTCATGCAGGATTCAGTCTTCTGTCAGTAAAGATATTTCAAAGTATTCTTCCCATCATTATTCAGGCTAGAGGCTCAGCAAAATTAGAATAACGAAATCCAATATCCTTGGCGAGCGACTTGGAAGAGGGTGAAGAACATGCAGCATAATCTTTAAGGGTTTCAGCCAGGATATTTGCACGTCTGGATGAATCGAAGTCCTTTTCAAAGTTTACCAGCTGCGTTTTATTTAGACATTCTTGTGAAGGGAGCAGCCTAGTTTAAACCAATACTTAATATTGATCTTAATTGTCTGTCAAATACAATAAATGACATTTGTGATCAGCACGTGTCACTCACAGACGTTCACATCAGCGGGAAAGCTCCAGGTCTCCCCCAGGACGCTCGTGACGGCGCAGAGGTACGTCCCAGCGTCCTGTGCCCCGACCTGCTTCACCTGCACAAACACAAACACATAAACACAAACACATAAACACAATACTCACTGTGAAATCTGCACAAACACATAAACACAAAAATAATACTCTGAAATCTGCACAGACAAACACACAAACACATAAACACAATACTCTTAAATATGTGTACTCTGTACTTTATATATATAGTCAGTGTCAGGTAGTTTATATATATATAGATCAGGGGTGTCAAACTCATTTTGGTCCAGGGGCCATATCCAACCAACTTTGATCCCAAAGGGGCCGGATCAGAAAACTCATGGCATATAAACCCCAAAAATAATAAGTTCAAATATTTGTGCAGAGAAACAGAAATCTATTATAGATTTTTTTTTTTAATTGATGAACTCTTTCATTTACAAAATAATTGTAATATTATGAACAACCTGAATCTTTAAGAAAAATGTAATTTCAACACAATGTTTTAACATGAACTTGTATGCAAATTTAAAGAATTTAAATAAGAATAGGTAAATTTTTCTTGGAAAATCCTGCACTTGGCGTGCACTTTTCTCATTTTTGACATTTTGTTGATGAGGGTGTCAAGGTCAACAGTCAAAACAATCGTCCTTTAAGAGCGTTTGGAAAGAGACAAGTCTTCATTTGTGCTGCTCTGGTGGGAGGGGCCACGTGCAGAGACGCTGGAGACGCTGCTGTGATAAACACCACAGAAAATTACCAATATTTTAATAGAAAATATAATTAAAATATTTGACTAGAAAATCAGCTGAGGGTCAGATTAAAGGTCTTGGAGGCCCCCGGGACGTATGTTTGACACCCCTGATATAGACAGTGTGAAGTACTTTCTACAGTCAGTGTACTTTACATATACATCCAGTATGAGGTACTTTATATACAGTCTATGGTGAGGACTTTATATGTACAGTCAGTGTACTTTATATACAGTAAGTGTGAGGTACTTTTATATATACAGCCAGTATGAGGTACTTGATAAATACAATCAGTGTGAAGTACTTTTTTATACAGTCATTGTGAGATACTATTATTTACAGCCAATGTTCTTTATATATATAGCCAGTGTGAAGTACTTTCTACAGTCTATGGTGAGGACTATATATGTACAGTCAGTATATGTGTTTATTTAGCTCTATAGAGTCTGTGGTGAGTACTTTATAAAAACAGTCAGTACATATGTTTCTATAGAGTGTATGTTGGGGGCTGTTTTCACCTGCAGCAGCTCTCTGGTCTCGTGTCTCAGGGGGAAGCCGTTCCTGTACCACTGGTAACTGGGCTGAGGGGCCCCGAGAGCCGTGCAGCGCAGAGTGAGTTTGGCACCGGGCCGAAGTGTCTGGGATTTAGGGTTAACCACGACGTGAGGCTCCCCGTGCCACCGAGGAGGTAAACCTGCGAGGAAGACAAATGATGATTCAATGTTCAATCCCCACAGGAAACAGATTCTACAGACTGAATCAGATCAAAACAAACTTTACTATCAGGGAAAAAAGCTGTGCCTCATTCCACTGCCTCCCCCACCCACACAACTCTCTGACACACACAACCAACAGCTCACAGTCGGTCACATGTGAGTCTCACCCAAGCACACACACTCACACGCACACAAACACACACTCACACTCACATACACACACACACTCACGAACACAAGGCCTAAACACACACAAACACACACGAACACTCACGCACACACACTCACTCATACACTCACACGCACTCACTTACACACACACACACAAAAACACACACACTCACACACACTCATTCACTCACAGACACACACACACTCTCTTACACACACTCACACACACAAACACGCACTCACACACGCACTTATACACACAGACACGCACTCACACACACACGCACTTATACACACAGACACGCACACACACACACACACAAACACGCACTCACACACGCACTTATACACACAGACACGCACTCACACACACACGCACTTATACACACAAACACACACACACGCACATACACACAAACACACACACACACACACACTTATACACACAGACACACACACACAAACACGCACTCACACACGCACTTATACACACAGACACACACTCACACGCGCACACTTATACACACAAACACACACACACACACACGCACACACACGCACTTATACACACAAACACACACTCACACACACACACTTATACACACAAACACACACACTCACACGCGCACACACGCACTTATACACACAAACACACACTCACACACACACACTTATACACACAAACACACACTCACACGCGCACACACGCACTTATACACACAAACACACACACACGCACTTATACACACAAACACACACTCACACACACGCACTTATACACACATTCACACACACACACTTATACACACAAACACACACTCACACACACGCACTTATACACACAAACACACACCCACACAAACACACACACATACACTGACGCACACACACTCATTCATTTACACACACACAAACACACACACACACACTTATACACACACACACACTCACACACCGGTGTGTTTACACACATGTTTGTTCATTAACATGCTCTGTCCCACAAATAAATAAATAAATAAATAAATACACACACACACTCACTTACACACACAAACACGCACTCAGTCACACACACGCTCACACTCACTCATTTACACACTCTCTTACAAGCACACACACTCACTTACACGCGCACACACACACACACACACACACACATACACTCATACACACAAAAAACACACTCACTCACAAACACACACTCACATACACACACTAACACACGCACTCAATCACACACACACTTATATGCACACACAGACATTCATTCAGTTACACACACACACTCTCTTACAAGCACACACTCATTCACTCTCACTCACACAAACACACACACACACACACACACACAGTTCATCCTCATGTTGTGTGTAACACTGATCTTCTACGATCCGCACAAAAGCGAAACGCACCTGATTTATCCACGTCCAGCACCGTCACGTGAGCCCAAGTGGTAAATTTACAGTTTAAATAAATGTCATTGACTCGACATGAATAGTTCTGGTTTTTGGTCACTTTGATGGTGAGATTGGGTTGTGTGGCACCCGGAACCTTTAAAATAAAGAAGAAGAAAAAAAAAAGAAAGAAAGAAAACAGGGGTCAGGAACGGTCAGAAATGAAAAGTAGAGCTGTGAGTTTCTGTGTGAAGTGCTCCTTACCTCACACACTTCCCTTTTACCGTCCTTCAGAACATAATTAAACCACTGGTATTGTAATCCGGTGCCTTTAGCCCAGACGCTCAGGACCACTTCGTGACGCACGGGGACGCACGCGTGGACGGGATGGCGCACGATATCAATTTCTGGAACAATCCACAATTACAACTTACAGCGCTAAAAAAAAAAAAAAGCAAGTTATTCCACGACAGGGCACGAGTCTCGCTTACCTCCTATCATTCTGACAAATCCAGTTTTCAGACAGTTTTAACTTTGTGGTGTATTTTTTTGTTGTAGCAGCATCATAAACCGGGGCGTGTAGCTTCCATGTGAGTTGCGTTCTGCCCGTGCAGCTGCGCGGCAACAACTGCCTGCTCTGGTTTCTGTTTTTTTATCTTAGGCGTTTAGCACTTCCCTTTCATCGGAGCATGACACGATTTTACTGACACTCGTCACCAGAGAGCAGACGGACGCGCGCCAGGAAATACAGGCTGAGCTTTCGAGGCGAAGCTTTTTGTGACATTACGGTAACGCGCTCGAACTCTTATAAAGTTGACACGACAGACCAGGAGTGTCAAACTCAAACTCACAGAGGCCAAAATTAAAAACTGAGACTAAGTCGTGGGCCAAAATAAATATTTATTGCAAAATTTCAACAACACGTGCATGTTTTCTCTTCTTTCAAGATATGTAAAATCTTTTCTTATTAAAATAAATGTTTAGTAATAGTTTTGCTTAAACAGTGAATCCAGAACAAGCAGAATCTAAAATAATAACAACATTTTAAATAAATAATGTCTCTATAGCAGCGGTCACAAGAAATTGAGATGATTATAAGAAAGTGGGCGAGCCATAGGTACAGTCTGATGCCTACAAGACATAAACACAAACCATTGTCCATTTATTAGAAGTGTTGGGAGTGTTAGGCTACTTTTAAAATGTATTCCCCTACAGATTACAGATTACATCCCCCAAAATGTAGTTTGTAACGTAATACATTAAATTACTTAAAGTGAGTAACGTAATCTGAATACTTTGGATTACTTGATTTGCTGTAGAGAAGCAAAGACTAGGAAATCGTAACATAAGATGTTTTGTCTGTTAAAAGAAAATAAAAAGCCCAGAATTTACTGAACCAAATTAAAAATATTATTGATAGAAGAGGAGGAGACATGGTCCATGCAGTATGATTTAGTCCTGTTAAATCCTGTTTTAGACCGGGTTTAGACCTGCTTTTAGTCCCGGTTTAGACCTGGTTTAGTCCTGGTTTAGATCTGGTTTAGGCCTAGTTTAGACCTGGTTTTTAGTCCTGGTTTAGACCTGGTTTTAGTCATGGTTTAGACCTGGTTTAGACCTAGTTTAGACCTGGTTTTAGTCCTGGTTTAGACCGGGTTTCGACCTGGTTTAGACCGGGTTTAGACCGGGTTTAGACTGGGTTTAGACCTGGTTTTAGTCATGGTTTAGTCCTGATTTTAGACCTGGTTTAGACCTAGTTTAGTCCTGGTTTAGGCCTGGATTTAGACCTGGTTTAGTCTTGGTTTGGACCTGGTTTTAGACCTGGTTTCGACCTGGTTTAGTGTCCGGCATTGAGTGGAATTACCGAGAAAAACAAAAAAGAAAGAAAAAGGGGGCATATAGCCCGAAATGTGAAAACAGTAAAATACCTCTGTGTAATCCATTTATTTCAACAAAGTAACTGTAATCCAATTCCCACTCACTGAAACAGTAACTGTAACTGAATACAGTTACTCATAATTTGTACTCTGATTACATAACTCAGGTACATGTGATCTGTTACTCCCCTGCACTGTTTATTAGTGCACAAAGTTAGGCATCAGTGTCGATTGGTAAAAGGCATTTAATTAATCAGATTTTACTTATTCAGCATAATATGTATATTCAGAAATCCCTTGGCGAGCTCCTTGAAAGGGGGTGGGGAGCTACTTGTAGTTGAGCCTGAGTTTGACATGTCTGCTGCTCAGGATTTTAGCAGTTTTAACTACCAAACCACAGACTTTAGCTTTGGTTTGTTTTATATTATTGTATTATTGATTTATTACATTTGTGAAATTCTAATTGCATTTGACGAAACAAACTTTTTAACGCTTTCACTCAAACTTTTTTACGCTTTTACTGGAGCCATGAGAGCAGGCAGACGCGCGCCAGGAAATACAGGCTGAGCTTTCCAGGCGATGCTTTTAGCGACATTACGGTAACGCGCTCACGCTCTAATAAAGTTGACACTGTTTGCCCAAGTCTACTCAGGATTTTAGCAGTTTTAAATACTACCAAACCACAGAGTATATCTTAGGTTTGTTTTATATTATTGCATTTGATTTATTACATTGTGAAATTCTAATTGCATTTAACCAAACAAACGTATTTACGCTTTCACTTAAACTTTTTTACTCTTTCACTTAAAACGTTTTTACGCTTTTACTGGAGCCATGACACGACTTTACTGACACTCATCACCAGACAGCAAAAGCAGACGCGCGCCAGGAAATACAGGCTGTGCTTTCGAGGCGAAGCTTTTAGTGACATTACGGTAACGCGCTCACCCTCTAATAAAGTTGACACTGTAGATTCAAGATTGCTTAAGCCTACTTTGGATTTTAGCAGTTTTTACTACCAAACCACAGACTTTAGCTTAGTTTAGTTTTATAGGATTGCATTTGATTTATTACATTTGTGAAATTCTAACTGCATTTGACCAAACAAACTTTTTTACGTGTTCACTCGAAACGTTTTTACGCGTTCACTCATTACACTCATGTCCAGAGATTAAGTGAATTTAGATGTGTTCACAACTCTAAAATCAAGTTTCAGTGTCTGATGTGCTCTGGGACCTATTTGTGGCGCCGCTAAAAATAGGTCCAGCCTGGCAACACATGCTTGTCTCTGATACGGAGCTGGAGAGGTTCTGCTCACAAGCTCAGACCTGTGCAACACTCAGGGGCCGCTTCATGGTGAGTTTGAAAAAAGACGACCTAGAAACTCCAGAAATTCACGCTAAACTCTTTCTAGTTCGTGAATGTTAAGCTTGGGGTTTGGTCACTAACAGCGTGGACCCTCCTAACTCACCCTATTTATAACCTGCCTCCAAGAAAGCCTCTGCTCCAGTAAGGACAGGACAGGCCTGGGGGGCTGTTTTTGACTTTTGTGTGAGACCCTGATCCTGTTCTCTTTATCTCTTCCAGGGCCTCTGTGGGACTAAAGCAGAACAGAAGAAGGAGAAGAAGAAGAGGCGAGGGCAGTTTCACTTCTTTGGATATATTTTGGTTTATTTATTTGCCTGAAAATGACTTCCAGGAGGCCCATGACTCGGTCTTATTCCGGCAATGGACGGACGAGCAGCTTTAGTGAAGAAGAGAGCAGCTCCTCCAACGGACGCAACACTTATCTGTCAAATGTCCGGCCTGAGAACAGGTACGAAACAAAACTGTAGCTCCATTTGGCCAGTTTATGTTTGATTCAGTATGAAATATTTCCAGAGGAGGTACAGCACTGATACTGTATGTATAAAAATATGAATTTCAGTTTATAATGAGTGACTGATGAGTTCCTTTTATTTACCTCCTCCCTGAAGGTATTCTCACTACAGACCGACGAGGTAAACGACATTTCAGACCTTCCTCCACTAACCTGTTAACTCTGAAAGCAGCTCACACAGTGTAACAGTGGTGTTCACAGAGTCACGCCTTGGACTGACTTTGCTCTGTTTTGCCTGATGATGTCTCTGAGTTTTCCCCCTTCACTCCTTTTTACGTTTACTTACCACAGATTTCCATTAACAGCCGTCCTCCTAATGGGGCTCTTGTTTAAATGTTGACTCAGGGATAGTTCTGCTCACGGAGAGAGAGAGAGTGGGGAGTGGAGGGACTTTCTGACGGTGGCTGTGTGTTTCCAGGAGCACCTTGTGTAGCGTCATGGCTCAGCTCACCGAAGACGTCCAGCCCTCGTTCGAAACCACGCTCAAGTCCAAGGCCGTGTCCGAGAACTGTAACGTGAAGTTCACCTGCGTGGTGTCAGGTAGTATCGCGTCCAGCTGATGGAGACTGGGTAGGACCTGTAGCTGCACGGTGCACGTAGGAGTTCAAAACATCCTCACTGGAAACGCACGATCCGATGTTGGTATCAGAATTTGAAGCCTGTACTGAAAAAATTGGCTTTGAAATATCGCTTCAGTCAAAATGCTGGTTGAACTTATAAATTGATGTAATAAGTTTGTTTACAGGTCGGAGTCGAGACCGTGTACCATTCGTTCTTTTGAATTTCAATTAAGAACGAAAACAGTTTGAATCCGTGTGTCATTCGTTCATTCATTTTTCAATATAAAACCAAAAATAAGAAAACGACAAAACTGTTTTCTTCATTATTTGTCTCCAAAACCAAAATGAAAAAACACACAACGATTTGTTTTTTCAGTTTTCGATTTTGTGTTTCAATGAAAAATGGAAAAAAGGGATAATGGTCGTTTCCCGTTTCCGTGACTTAAACTGTGATGCCGGACTGTACAGGACTAAAACAGGATTAAAGCCGGACTAAACCGTTTTCAGTCCTGGTGTGGTCCTGGTCTTAGTCCGAGTCTGGTCCCGGTCTCAGTCCTGGTCTCAGGCCCGGTCTGTTCCTGGTCTCAGTCCCGGTCTCAGTCCCGGTCTCAGTCCTGGTCTGTTCCCGGTTTCATTCCTGGTCTCAGTCCTGGTCTGGTCCCTGTCTAAGTACAGGTCTCAGTCCCGGTCCAGTTCCGGTCTGGTCCCGGAACTGGTTTAGTCCTGGTTTAGTCCTGGTTTGGTCCAGCATCACAGTTTAAGTCACCTAAACAGGAAACGGTCGTTAACTGTATTTTTCCATTTTTCATTTAAACACAAAATCTAAAATTGAAAAAACAAATCATTATCTGTTTTTTGATTTTGATTTTGGAGACAAATAATGAAGAAAATAATTGTTTGTTCATTTTCTTATTTTTGGTTTTATATTGAAAAACAAATGAATGGATGTATACACAGATTAGTTTTTTATTTCATTATTCCGTTTTAGTGTCAAACAAAAAAAAACTAATTTTAACCTCTATTTCCTGTATAAATTTTTTATTCCTGCCTCTTTAAATTTTGATATTTTATTCTCTCTGGTTTATTTGCCCCGGAAGTTCTGCTGCTGGAAGGATTTACCTGAAAAATCGTTGCATGATGAAAAACGGAAACCAGGAACAAGGCGATAAACTTTGTTCAACTGACTCCATAAAACTATAATAAAAATAGTTTTTATTATAGATCCACGGTTGATACTAAATTCACACGCGACGTAGAGCAGCAGAGAATAAAATATCAAAATTAACAACGAAGTTTTTTGATTGGTGTTATTTGAATATTGGAAACAGAGATCGAAATCTGTTTTTGTTTTTGTTTGTTTGACACTAAAACGGAATAATTAAATAAACTGTTTTCCCTTTTTTTTTTTTGTTCTTAATTGAAATTCAAAATAACAAACTGTACATGGACTCAAGTCGGCTCAGAAAGCCTCAGTGTTTGACCTTTTGATTTACACAAAGTTGTTCTGTAGTAACTTAAGAGATAAATAACATTTTCATCACACATTTGGATCAGTTCTGTCTTATTTTATTTTTGTTTAAAGAAATAAATGCTGTTGTCACTTTCTGCACTGATACTAAGAACAGGAATCAGAAATGGAAAAAGCTCGATCGGTGCATCTCTAATCCCAACTCAATAGTGTATAGAATTATCAGAAAACACACACAATATCAGCACTGCATGAAAGAAAATATTATATTGAAGAGGTTTTTTACACTATAGACTTGAGTTATTTTAGCCATTGTGATCTTAATGTCATGTGTCTTTAGTTTTCGTATCACTGATGTTTGTGTTTCTTCAGGACTCCCGGCTCCTGAACTGAAATGGTACAAAGACGACCTGGAGTTGGATCGTTACTGTGGTCTTCCAAAATACGAAATTCGGCGAAACGGGAAAACTCACACCCTCCACATTTACAAGTGAGTCTCTACAGCGTTCACTAGGGGTGTAACGATACGATAATGTCACGGTATGAACATCACAGTACGATATTTATTGCGATATCGTGGGAAAGCTCACGATTAGAGATATAACAATAACCCAATCTCTCTGTACGATATTTTCATGATATACATCTCACGGTATGATATTTATTGTGATATTTTGTAGAGGCTAAAAAACTGTTAATATGCTACTTTTTCTTCTTAAAATGCCTTGACAAGACTTAATCCAAAGAACTAAGACTTTAAAGTGTTAGAACTGTTATTTCTTCTTGTGGTCTGCACTTAAATGGAGCAAAGGATCATGGTCAATGTAGCTCTTTGGTTTTTTTTGTTTGTTTTTAGCTATTGCTGCACCATAACTCTTAAATTTAAGCAAAGAGACTTGTAAGTCGATATATTGTGATGGTCCACGATATTATTGTGAGAACTTTGACGATACGATATCACAATATTTCGATTATTAGAATAGAATAGAATAGAAAGCCTTTATTGTCATTATACAATAGTATAATGAAATTCAGAGCTGGTCCGTTAAAGTGCAAGAATCAACAATTAACAAATAAAACAAATCAACAGTTCCCATTCAGTGTGGTGACAGCTTTGTGGAAGAAGCTGTCCCTGAGTCTGTTGGTCCTAGCTGGAATTGACCTGAAGCGCCTGCCAGAAGGCAACCGTTTGAACAGGTGGAATCCAGGTTGTGTATTGTCTTAAATTATTTTCCTTGCTCTGCTGAGACACCGAGAGTTGTATAATGTGGTTAAGGAAGGCAGGGGGCAGCCAATAATGTCCTGCGCAGTGTTGGTGACCCTCTGCACACGCTTCCTGTCAGCTTCTGTGCAACTACAGTGCCACACTGTCACTGCAAAGGTCAGCAGGCTCTCAATGGTGGAACGTTAGAAGGTTACCAGCAGGCTTGTGTTTAGTTGCTCCTTCCTGAGCACCTCAGGAAGTGTAGCCTCTGCTGGGCCTTTTTGCCCAGTGCTGAGGTGCTGACTGACCAGGAGAGATCCGCAGAGATGTGAACTCCAATTAATTTGAAGGTCTCCACTTGCTCCACACTTTGGCCATTGATGTACAGGGGGGCAGGGGTGGCTCTGTTCCTCCTAAAGTACAGGATGTTACTAACTGGACTATTGTTACATCCCTAGTGTTCTCCTCAATGTATTTAAATTGTTGACACTGGAATCAAAAGCAAATGATACAAATTAGGGCTGAATAAATGAGGCCTTGACAAATTTCATGTTTTGGTGTTTTTATCACAGTTTCTTAAAGGTCCTATATTGTTATAATGTTGTTACCTCATCAAAAACAGACCTGGAGTTGTGTTTTGTTTCATTCACACATGCACACATAGTTTTCAAGTTAACAGCTGTCTTTTACCTTTTTGTTAGAGTGTCAGTTTCAGGGCTGAAATCAAAAAGAATGAGAACTTCGCACATCAGTTTCTTGAAACGGGTGGGTTGGAGGAGCGGGAGCAGCCCAAGAACATAGAGAAAAATCCCGCAAACCAATTTTCTAATGTTCTAGGGCTGAAATTATCCAGATGATTCTAGTGAAGGAGATTATTCCGAATGAAAGTTAATTCAGAATAAAAATTAATTGCATTTTAAAAAGAACATGTAAACACTTAATTCCTATGATTATTCGGAATTAAACTTAAACGCAAATTAAGTATGTGGCTTATTCCGATTTTAAAGCTGAATTAATTTATTCCGCGATCATGTTAACTTTTATTCCTTAAAAATAATTCTGGTCGTTCAGTACATGCACGTTGACAACAATTAATTAATTAATTAATTAACAATTAATTCAGAATTTAAAAAATATCATGTAAACGTGTTTTTTCTTTGTTTTTGTCAATTTCAGGTCTGTTTGTGTTGAGGAAACAACACTATAACACAGATTAGAAAACAGAATAATATGGGCTCTTTAATGTTGACTTCACTGACAGGAAAATGCAACTTATTTAAAGATACATTTCCGGTTTAAAAGTTTTAGAACACCATCATTTTTCCAGTTATTTATTGCAGTTCAAGTTGTGCAAGTCCAATGAAGAGCTTGAAATGTTACAAAGGTAAGAACTGAACAACCAGAGGATTTTTAAAAAAAAGATAAACGATACAAAACACAAGTCCAAGCTCTGCCAAAACTACCTCAGGAAAACAGAACAAGACGGTAAAACTTGAAAACATGGAGTGTCCAGCAGCAGCACAGTGTCCAGACTTAAACCCCATCGAGCTGGTTTGAGATGAACTGGACAGAAAAGTGAAGCAACCTACAAGTGCCACACATGTATGGAAACTTCTGCGACAGACTTGGGAAGAACTTTCTGAAGAATATTTGATTTTTATTGTAAAAAGAACGAGCCACGAGTGTGTTCAGCTGTTATATCTGCCAAAGGTGGACACTTTCAGGAATCAAAAGTTTAGAATACGTACAGTAAAAATAAAAAAACTGGAAAAAGTGTAGTGTTCTAAACCTGATTTTGTGTTGTGTTTTTTAGCTGCACACTGGACGACGCCGCCATATACCAAGTCTCTGCGAGCAACAGTAAGGGGATTGTCTCCTGCTCTGGGGTTCTGGAGGTGGGCACTATGAGCGAGTACCAGATCCACCAGAGATTCTTCGCCAAACTGAAGGCAAAAGCTGAGAAGAAGCGACAAGACCTGGAGGAGTCAAGCAAGAAAGCCGCAGCGGACAAAGAACCAGCTCCGAAAGAGACGCCGCAGAAAAGCCCAGAGCGGACGCCGCGTAAACGAGCCATTTCAGAACCATCGCAGAGCCCTGAAGAACTGCTCGTCGGCGCTGCAGAAAAGAACAGCCAAGTCCAAGAACCTGCCCCGACTTCACCCGTAGCTCCAGAGGTGAAGACGGACGGCGAGCATGCGTTGAGCAAAAAGAAATTCAAAATCTCCAACAGCGTGGACGCGCAGACGGACCAGCCAAGCACGCCGAAGGGTAACACCGTCCGAAGCAACGTGATGGGGAACGGCGGAGACAATCATTACGACGGGGGAATGGGGCTGGCGCAGTTTTTGGCTGAAACGCTCCAGTCTCAGGCGGTAGAGGAGAAACAGGTGCCGAACAAAGAAGAGGCGGGTAAAGGAGGTGGAGAAAGTGTGAAAGAGAAGACGCATGAGGAGGACGGCAAACAGACGGTGGAAGAGGAGATGGAAGTAGAGACGGTGCAGGTGCAGGCGCAGGCGCAGGTAAGATTAAGTTGAAATTAGAGAATTGTCAAAACTTGTTGGACACGCTTTGTGAATTTTTAATTACCAAATATAGGGTCTATTTTATTGTAAATCTTTAGTCTCTCTTGGGGAAAAATACAATATGATTTTTTTTATGAAGTAAATGCACTGTACTTTTAACTTTTTTTTTTTTTTTACTTTTTTAATTTTACTTTTTTTTTTTTTTTTTAACAATTTTATTCTTATTTATTGTTATTATTTGTTACGTTACATTTTATTTATTACTTTATTTGATTATTTTATGTATATATTTTTACATTTTCTAATTTATAATTTTTTTTTTTTTTTTTAATGAAGTTAATGCACTGTACTTTTAACCTTTTTTCTTTTTTTTTTTAATAAGTTTTAATTTAATTAAAATTTTTTATTTTTAAAAAACAATTTTATTCTTATTTATTCTTATTATTTTTTATGTTACATTTTTATTTATTATTTTATTTGATTATTTTGTGTATATATTTTTACATTTTATAATTTATTATTTTTATTTTTATTTTTTTTACTTATTTATTTGACAGGTACACTGCAAAAAACAAAATCTGGCCACGTTAAGATGACTTGAATTAAGAAAGTTTTATCATGATTTGAGTAAATTTCACTTAAAAAGTTTTTAAAAATCTGCCAGCGGAACAAGACTTTTTCTTCTTAAAATATGAAAATACATCTTGCTTCACTTAAAATAAGAAAAACGACAACTTTTTGCACGTAAAATACAAAACAAAATCTAATGTTGCTTGAATTCAGAAAAACAAAAACAGACTTGTCAAGTTGAAGTAAAATTAAAGTCATTTTAATTAATAAGAACATGCAAAAACAGTTTAAAAGCAGGATCCTTAAACACATTTATACAACAGTACAGTTTCACATTCCAAACATTCTCACATTCAAACACGTCTCCATGCACACGCACACGCTGGGACTCTTAAGTGGTGAGGTCATTATTCTACTTCCCGGTTCAATATAATTCCAAACTCATTAACTATATCGCAGTGATATTGGAATTTGGCCCTGATCCAAGGCACAGACTGTATAAAGAAGCATCTGTCTCCAGTCCAGTGAAGCTCATCGAGGCTGGAGGTCACAGGGGCGAATTTGCAGCTGAGTTCCATATTAAGAATTTTTTTACCAAGAAAATAGCAAAATAAAAACACCAGGAGCACATAGAGAGGGTTAATGCGAACATTTTAAGACCAAAATGAAGAATGATAAAGAGAGGATTGACAATTTTTCAATGTAAAGTCAGTTTCAGTTTAGTTTTTTTCAATCTAAGATCCAAGATTTTGTATATAGACTTAGATTTTATTGATCCACAAGGGAAATTATTTGGACACAGTAACTCACACATCAAAATAAATATAATAACAAAGACTAAATATATAAATACTAATAATAAAATCAAAATAAGCAACAAAAATACTAAGGTGCTGGTGTCAGATAAGGCGTAATTACACAATTGTATATGCTGTTTAAAATACACTGCACACAAACTCTGCTTTTAGACTTAGACAGACTTTATTAACTGCAAAAGACAAAATCTAGCCAAGTTAAGATGACCTGAATTAAGAAAGTTTGATCATGATTTGAGTAAATTTCACTTGACAAGTAAAATTATCTGCCAATGGAACAAGACTTTTTGTAGTTAAAATATGAAAATACCTCTTGCTTCACTTGAAATAAGAAAAACAACAACTTTTTGGACTTAATTAACATAAGAAACAAAATCGAATGTTGCTTGAATTAAGAAAAACTCACATATTCTATTAGTAGATAATTTTACTTGTCAAATTGAATCGACTCAAATAACGTAAAATGTTCTTAATTTAAGTCATTTTAACTTAGTTAGATATTGTTTTTTTCAGTGTTCATCCACAAGGGAAATTATTTGGACACAGTAGCTCACAAATCACATTATAATATAATAACAAAGAGTAAAAAAATATATATAAATGGTAATAAACTTCTGAATAAGAAGCAATAAAAAGACTGGTGCCGGGCGTACACTGTGCGATATTTTTGATCATTTCGCTCAGCTCCAGCTCAAACTGTACGACCAAATCAGATAATTTAAAAGTTCACAGCTCACGATTCATGTTCTCACACGATACGAATGACTTCAACAGAGCAAAACCGTCACGAGAAGCGATTTCAAACAGGTTTGATTTTCTTACGACCTACGATTGCCGATCTGGAGCTGGTTGTGAGGTATTAATCGGTCTTCGTTACCCAATGTTTACTAAGCACGAAACACGATTAAGTAAAAACTTGCCCCGATCCCAAAAACAGTCGCACTAGTGAAAAATCGGCTCAAATAGGGCCAAAAATCACACAATAAACACACAATAAATTATATAAAAGTATGTACAGTAAGTAAAAAACACAAAAACCCCATGTTTACTACACGAAACACGGTACACGATGAAGCCAAGACTCGCCCCGATCCCAAAAACAGTTGCACGAGTGAAAAATCAGCTCAAACAGGGCCAAAAATCACACAATGAACACACAATAAATTATATAAAAGTATGTACAGTAAGTAAAAAACACAAAAATATCGTACTATAAATAGACTATATAGTTTTCCTGATATACAGATATATCAGTTTTGTTTGAGCAATAGAAACACCCATGGACATTATTCACCATGACCCACTCTGACCCCTGACAGCTCATTTATTTAGACATTTATTAATGAAACCTGCGTGACTATTTACTTCTGCTTTGTGTCTGTGGAGAACTGGGACCAACGCTGTCATACTTTTGCTATATCCTTGAGTTTCTGTTTCCAGACGCCATGTTGAGAACTTGTCATCATCCAAAATATGTAATATTAGGGATGTGACAATAACTGATTTTTTTTTATTGTGATATCGTATCATCAGAAGTCTCATAATAATATTGTAGACTGTGCATGGTTTATAGTAGTATCAGCTTATGAACTTTGGAAACTACATATCCCATGATTAATTTCAGCACAAACAACATGAAGAAATATGTTTTTTACTTAAATTCTTGGGATTATGACGGAAATAATTCACACCAAAATCTCGTCAAGGTATTTTAAAAGCAAAAAAGTTTCCTATCTCCATTTATATCAGCCTCTGCAAAATATCGCAATAAATGTCGTACCGTGACATGCATATCGTGATAATATCGTACCGAGAGATTTGGATATCGTTACATCCCTTCGTAATATGGACTTTGTTGTTGTTAATCGCTATAGCAACGGTGCAAATTTGTCATCACAGTGAACCCGACAGCAGTAAAAATGTTATAAAAAACAAAATCACGATCAAAACTCTAGCGCTGCCATTCCAAAAGTTTGTTTTTCCACTATCCCATTGATTGATTTCTAATAATAATAATATTTTACTCTACATATAAAATAATACATACTTTTAGATCATATTTATATGTTAAAACAATACATTCCCATGCTTTTAATACTAATATAAACAAATATTTAATGTAAAGCTGATTTAAAACTCAACAGTTTGGCTTTTGCTTGTTACGTCTAGAACAAAAATACAACTAATTCAGTCCAAAACTTTTTTTTCTTTCTTTTTTCTTTTATTGGGTCATTTTGCAGCACTACAAGACAAAAAAACAAAACAAAACAGACCAAAGCAACAGTATCAAACCATATTAAACAATAACAGAATTCCAAGAAAGAAAAGAAAGCAGTGCATGAACAACAAGTTTTATTTACAACAAAAAATATGAATTAAAAAGTTAAATTAAACTTTCATTTCAAGTAACAAAATCACATCAGATCTGTGTTTTTCTCCTTACAGCAGAACTAAAATGTGACTTTTTTTTTACATTTGTAGGTGCAAGAAAGAGCAGAGCAAGAGATGAAAGAGGAAAGCAAAGAGAAAGCTCATCCCACACCTCCAATTCGGCACAAGAAGGAACATAAAGAACAGAAAGAACAAAAAGAACACAAGGAGCATAAGGAGCATAAGGACCACCACATCCCCGCGTCCATCTCCTCCATGCTCCACTCCGTCAAGGACTTTTTCTTCGGGAAGAACAAGAAGGAACCCCACGAGAGCAAACCGAAAGACACCCCAGACTCCCCCGGCGTGCTCGAGCCGCCAGCCACGCCGCCGTCTTACTATCTCAAACCCGAAAGCCTGTCTGAAACCCGGGCTAAAGACGATTACGGAATGCCCACGGAGGTCGCGCAGCTGCAGGGAGCAACGTCGGAAAGGCCAAAGGTCGCAGAAGAGCAGGAGGATTTGTGCAGAGGAGACACTGCGCCGGAGAGCACGGCGGGGGGTGGAGCTGACCAAGCCATGGAGGTGACTGAAGAGGAAACGGCATTGTCCAGTCCGCAGATACTCGCTGAGGTATGGCCAGCTGCCCCACACTTGAGAGTTATTTTTAGGGCGCGTTTCTGACAAGATAGCAGAAGAAGAATGTCTAAGATGAAAGCGAGCAGCATGGCGCAAGAGCTGAAAAACAGAGAGTGTGCAATGGGTTTTTTACTCAGGTTTTAAAGGAATAATATATAAAAAAAACACGAGTAGCAGAGAAACAGGGGAAGTTCCTGGATATGTTTGTAAATATGCCTCAGCCAACACAGGAAGTTCTTCGATTTCAAGTCTTAGTTCTGTAGAAACCAAATCTGCAAAAGTTTACAATAACATGATGAAAAAATTACCATTACCATTGCTTTAGAATTAACTCTGGCTTGAATCTTGTAGCATTTAATAGATAGACAGATAGACACACATATATAGATAATTTCTCTTGTGGGTCAGTAAAGTTTGTCTACAGTTTGTCTAAAGATGAGATAGTGTATCATTCGTTCATTTGTTTTTTTTCAATGTAAAACCAAAAATAAGAAAACGAAAAAACAACTATTTTCTTCTTTATTTGTCTCCAAAACCAAAATGAAAAAACTGACAATTAATGATTTGTTTTTTCCGTTTTGTGTTTAAATGAATATGAATAATGGAAAAAACAGATAAAGGCCAGGACTAAACCAGGACTGAACCAGGACTGAACCAGGACTAAACCAGGACTAAACCAGGACTAAACCAGGACTGAACCAGGACTGAACCAGGACTAAACCAGGACTAAACCAGGACTGAACCAGGACTAATCCAGGACTGAACCAGGACTAAACCAGGACTAAACCAGGACTAAACCAGGACTAATCCAGGACTGAACCAGGACTGAACCAGGACTAAACCAGGACTAAACTAGGACTAAACCAGAACTAAACAAGGACTAAACTGTTTTCAGTCCTGGTCTGGTCCCGGTCTCTGTCCCGGTCTGGTCCCAGTGTAGTCCCGGTCTCAGTCCCGATCTTAATCACAGTCTGGTCCTGGTCTGGTCCCAATCTCAGTCCCAGTCTCAGTCCTGGTCCTGTTCCCAGTCTCATTTTCGGTCTGGTCCCAGACCTGTTTTAGTCCTGGTTTAGTCCTGGTCTCAGTCCTGGTCTGGTCCCGGTTTCAGTCTCGGTCTTAGTCCCAGGCTCAGTCCCGGGCTCAGTCTCAGTCTGGTCTCAGTCTGGTCCCAGTCTCAGTCCTGGTCTGGTCCCGGCCTCAGTCCTGGTCTCAGTCCTGGTCTCAGTCCTGGTCCTGTTCCCGGTCAAAGTCCTGGTCTCAGTCCTGGTCTCAATCACTGTCTGGTCCTGGTCTGGTCTCGGTCTCAGTCACGGTCTGGTCCTGGTCCTGGTCCCGGTCTCAGTCCTGGTTCAGTCCGGCATCGCATTTTAAGTCACGGAAACGGGAAATTATCAGTTTTTTCCATTATCAATTTAAACACAAAATTGAAAACTGAAAAAACAAATCTTTATCTGTTTTTTCATTTTGCTTTTGGAGAAAAATAAAGAAATTGTTTTTTCGTTTTCTTATTTTTGGTTTTATTTTGAAAAACGAATGAACAAATGATACACGGTACTTAAACCATATTATATTAATATTGTTTATTTTATGTGATTAGGTCTGTCACAAAAACAAACGATATATCAGAGAAATACAGAGAAATATTACAATAAATATATTCTCTGTACGATATTGTCACCATATGCATGTCACGTTTCGATATTTAATGTGAAATTTTGAGAAGGTTAACAAATCTGTGAATGTTTTGAATATTTTTTCCTCTTAAAATGCCTTGTCAAGACTTAATCCAAAGAACTAAAATTGAAAAGTGCTTATACTGGGGGAAAAAATCAATATCTAGGTCAATTAAAATGACTTAAATTAAGAACATTTGACTTTGAGTAGATTCAACTTGACAAGTAAAATTATCTACCAATGGAATAAGTGTGTTTTTCTTAATTCAAGCAACATTCGATTTTGTTTCTTATTTTAAGTGCAAAAAGTTGTTTTTTCTTATTTCAAGTGTAGCAAGACGTATTTTTAGATTTTAAGCACAAAAAGTCTTGTTACATTGGCAGATCATTTTACTTGTCAAGTTGAATTTACTCAAATCATGATAAAACTTTCTTAATTCAAGTGACGAGATTTTTTTTTTTTTTTTGCAGTGTAACAGTTATTTCTTCTTGTAGGCTGCACTGAAATGGAGCAAAGCATCATGGTCTATGTAGTTCCCTTTGTTTTTTTAGCTCTTGCTGCACCATAACTCTTAATTTAAGCAAGGAGATTTGTAATTCGATATATTGTGTTGGTCCATGATATTATTGTGAGACTTTTGACGATACGATATCACGATATTTCTGTTTTAGTCATGTTATTATATAAACATGGCAAAAACTCTCCCCATTATTGCACAGATTGAACTGTAAATCGATGTAGTAATTATCGTGACAGGCCTGTATGTGTTTATTAAAAAACTAGATCAGGCTGGCAACTAGGTCAGGAATCGGAATACAATTTGCAGAAAAACCCCAAACATTCTGTGTTGGCAACGATTCCAGAGATTTAGGATTAGGAGATCGAGGATTTAAAGCCGGAAAAAGAGAATGTTTGGTGAATTTTATCAAGGGGAAAGACGTTTATTGTCCTTCTTCCTACAGGATTTGGTGCATTACATACGTCACGACCAAATAGCAGCGATTGGTTAAATAAAAAAAAAAGTTCCCGCCTACTGTCGAGCGAAAAAATCCTAATGCTGCTGGTCAGACGGTTTCCACAAAGTGAAACCGTCTGATGAATCAGGCTACAACAGTATTACTGTGTCTAAAATAATACAGTTCTGGCTCTTTTATATCTGTGTTTATTTAACATATTGAATTTTGTGTTTTATTGAAGAGTTAAGCCAGGCGATTTTTGACCCTTTTTGAGCCGATGCGACTATTTTGGGGATCGGGCCGAGTTTTGGCTTCATCATGTGTCGTGCTTCGTGTTGTAAACATGGGGTAAAGAGAACAGATTAATACCTCACGACCAGCTCCCGATCTGCATTCGTAGGTCACAAGAATATCTAACCTGTTCGCCTCTCGTGAGGGTTTCGCTCTGTTGAAGTCGTTCCATAAGCCGATTTGCCAGATTCTGTCAGACCGAGCATGTGCGGACACAGAAGTGGAAGAAGGATATGAGGCTGTGGAGGACGATGGCGCCGGCGAGTGTTTTAGACACGGGACATTAGGGCTGGGTATCATTAAGAAGTTGCCGATACGATACATACCTTGATACACAGGACACGATACGATACATATCTCGATACAGTGCACTTTCAATTTGATATGATATATTTCAAATTGATTCGATACGGTTCAATAAAAAATAAAGGCTAAATCGTGGCTGTGATACTAAAAGTCTTTCTTGTGCAAAGTTCATATGAAACACAAACATTTTAATCATCAAAACAGTAAAAATATCAAATGTGTTGCATAAATGAGTTTCCTTTCACTCCACAAGCAACAAAACTGTAGCTCTGTAACAAAATAATTTAGTAAAAAACACCTAAAAATACTCTTACTTGGTGATATATCGATACAGTAGCCCACGATATCGATACTGTATCATCACATTAAAAGTTACGATATATCGATATTCCAATATTTTTGCACACCCCTACGGGACATGGAGGCACAGCTAATCAAGCAACACAGAACAGAAGTTTAGTGAAAAACTTGATGCTACTTACCTGCAGTTCCTTCTGAAGAACTGATAACTCGTACTGCCCACGTCTGCCCAGACATTTCTTTGACCAGATTCATCGCCTCTTCTTTTTGGGCTTGTCTGCGCAGAGAATGGCACAAATTGCCAAGGCAGCGCGTTTGTTTTTTGCCTGGATCAGCGTTGTGTCTCCGCACGTCTGTGGTTTTCTAATTCCATAGTTTTCTTTCCTTGTGGTTTTCTACTTCCGGAACAACAACTCCGGTCATTATGTGAGCGTACAGTATTCGAGCATCGGTTCGTATCGTGTGAGAACATGAATCGTGAGCTGTGAACTTTTAAACCCTGCGATTTGGTTGTACAGTTTAATGCCGGGGCTGAGTGACACGACCGAAAATACTGCACAGTGTACGCCCGGCATTAGAAAGTCATGACAGTTGTGGATGTGTTGTTTGCTGGATCGTGCATTACTTGGTTTCAGTGCATAGTATGAAATATTTTGACATTTAGTGGTGGAAAATAACAAAGTAAAAGCAGTAAAATGTTGTAGTTAAATACACATTTTTGGTATCTGTGCAATTACATTTTAAGTAGATACTTTTTACTTTTGCTTCACTACATTTGAGAGCAGGTATTTGTACTTTCCACTACATTTTTGACCTGGCCTGAAAAGTAAAAGTATTTTTATTATCATTTTAGACCTGCTGAAAAGGCTTTATTTATTTAGGCTTTAAAAGGGTTTATTTTTAACATGTTTGCAGTTTGAGCAAACAAAAATATACAAAAAACAACAACTAATTCAATTGTTACTGTACAAAAAAATCTCAAAATCGGTGCAAAATGCTTTTACTTTTTCAACAACTAACTATTTTAATACTTTTACTTGAGTAGATTTTTCATGTGATTTTGCTTTTTTTGCTCCGATATCTTAAAATCTGTGCAAAATGCGTTTACTTTTTACAGTTTAAGTACATTTTTCAACAAGTAGCTACTTTAATACTTTTACTTTAGTAAATTTTTTTATGTGATTTTGCTTTTTTTGCTCCAATATCTCAAAATCTGTGCAAAATTCTTTTACGTTTTACAGTTACAGTGCATTTTTAATCAAGTAGCTACTTTAATACTTTTACTTGAGTAGATTTTCATGTGATTTTGCATTTTTTGCGCCGATATCTGTACTTTTACTTAAGTTTCAAAGCTGAGTACTTCTCCCACCGCTGCATTTAATCTGTTTGATCAGAAATAAGGTTGAATATTGATGAGCTGGTGTGACAAAGGAGCTGTGTGTGTGAAAAATGAATTGAAAGTGAATGACGTTGCGCTCGTGTTTTGTTTTGTATGTAGCAGCATGTTGACCACAACTT